TTTTCATATTGCTTTTTCCTAGATACAACAAATCAGAATGCTGAGGGTGTGGACAAACGACTTCAATGTTGAAAGGTGATAAATAAATAATTGCTTTACTGCTTGATGTATGTTCATCCATTTCTTTTAAGAAATCAATCGGATCCTTTCCTACATCTATATCACAAGAACCAATCTTTTCAGGGTTCATTTTATCGTTGTATGGTGCTTCTAAAGACATCTGAAGAATATTCTCCACATCAGTGGCGTGCAATTTATCAAGCAGAGTGTGTGGCTGTGGAATGTAAGTTTGACTACAAGTTAAGAGACAAAAGACATCCACATCCACATCCGTACGCTAACTGAAGCCTTTTTTACCAGTATTATACTCAGTAAAGTCTAAAGTCGAAGTGCGTTATTATTACCTCGAATCATAGATTCACACATATCTCATGTATTTCAAAATAAGAAATATTCGTATAATTAATATGATTCAATCCATAAAGTTGTAGCATCAAAATTAAAGAATGAATCTATGTTTGAAAGAGAAAATAGTCAATCTTTCTGTAAAAAATATCCCGTAAACGTCAACTATTGACGCATACAACAATATAGTCTATCCAAACCATGAATGTTTTTTTCTGTACTTTCAGAAAGAAATCATTTCTTTATGAAAGATGTTCTCATGTAGGAAAAAATGCATTCCTATTGACGTATACATGATCAGATACTTTTCAAGAAATAGAATTGAGACAATCTCAATCAAATGTCTTGATCTATGTTTATTTTAAATAAAGAATATCGAAAATTGATAGAACAGAAATATAGATAAGAATAAACATGATCATAAATCATCAATGAAAAGTAATTTTTTTTTGACTTTTCCATCTGTTTTATCATCTAATTAAATATTGTTAGCATAAGTTGATTTATTCATGTTGTTGAAGTTACAGTTTTTTTTCTTTAAACGAATGGACTATTGTATATTTCGGGTTTTTTGGCCGGATCAAAACCATGTAAATGCATAGTAACAGCTATTTCAAAAAGATAATCATAACATTCACACATTGTTTTTGCTTTTTGCCATGTGTCACCCCAAACATAAACACCATGTCGACGAACAAGTACAGCACATGTATCTGGATATTTTTCCATTGCTTTACGTAATGAACTAGTTAAATCTTTTTCTTCACATGTATTTTCAATAATTGGTACAACCAATATATCATCATATCGATAATATTCTTTTTCTGTAGAACATTTTTTAATACCTTTTATCATTTCTTGATGTGTTATACGAAATTCATGTTGACCATCATATAATAATGTAGCCATAACAGCGGCACGAGAATGTGTATGAATACAAGCACCAGCATTACGAAGTTCAAAAGCAGCATAAAATAATGGTGTACATTGACTACGTGTAAGACGAAGTTCTTTCGATGGTTCTTTAATAGTATCACCGGAAAGTGTTTGAACAAATAAATGTTCTGATTCAATACGTTCTTTTTGTACACCACTTGGAGCTAAATAAATTAAATCATTGTATTTTAATGATATACCTCCACCGGTGCCTTAAAAAGAGAAGAAAAAAAATTTTTTTTGTATAAAATGGTTCTTTTTTTTCAAATTCAACAACCTGTAACCCATCCAAGTTGATAGAATAATCGACATAATTCTGGTATTAATTTTCTTGGATGTTGAGCAGGCAATTTCGACAAATCTTCATCTTCTTCATATTTCGCTAATTCATCATTAGTAGTCATTATCTAGAATAAAAATATTTTTTAAATAATTCTTTCAAGTTGTGCATAGTTGTTAAGCATTTATTCATCACTTTATCATTATAATTTGAAAAAAAAAGACTTATTATTCAAATTATTTTCTGAGTTTTGAGAGATCTTTTGATTTATCTATGATCAATGTGTAATATTCAATATATCATACAATTCACTTTGAATGCTCAACTCTTTTACATACTTAATCACTTCTAAATACAAATAATTATTACTTAAGTCTTTATTAAATCATTTATCAATTATTTGTTTTAATTCCATTCGATTTTTTTGAACAACTACAAAGAAATGTTAAATAGTAATAATCATCTAGACACCATTTTTTCATCAAAAAAGTAATTACTATATAAATAGTTTTAATATTATAGTAGGACTATCTTGTTAAAAAATGCTGCTATTTTGCATGAGTATTCGAATGAAGCAAAATTAATTCATGATCGTTCAAATAAATAAAGTATTTCTATATAATTATAGTATTCACTGGATACAACTTTTTTTAGCAATTGTTTACTTTCATATTGATAAACGAATCGGAATTCATCAATGACTCATGAAATAAGACCAAAACTAGTTCAAGTTTTGTATGCTATTTGCAATACTCGGTACTGTCAAACACCCGATCGACTTTTAGGTAGACGTTGATATAACATTCTAATCGAAAAGATTAGTCATTCATGTAAATATAAAATTTAAAAAAGTAATCATTTATAACTATTTACGATTTAGAAAGTAATGAATAAGGTCAATATTAAGTAGGGATGTTGCATGACATATTGAAAAAAAAACACACACATACGAATACGATTTCTAATGTTGATAATAATGACAAGTGTTTTCTACTTGATGACGATTATAGAATAGAATCATTCAAAGCTTTGAATAGTTGTTTGATAAAATTTGTTCTATTTCAAATCGATGATGATTATCAACTACATCTTGGTTAATAGTGTACAATGAAATGATTGATTATCTCGTTTTTTTTAATATTTTTATGAAGTAGGTTTTAATATGAAAGTCATACGTTCAGCGTTTTATCCAGATTTTCTTTTACGGAGGGACAATTTAAAGCTCTGGAAAGGCGAACATCTATTTTTTAGGGAGCATAGACATGTAGTATCTGTTCAAAGGAATGCCTTCCTTCGACATTGTATTTATATGATCAAAATCAATAGTCACAGATTATCATTATCAATTCTGGTGATATTTACTGTTAATAACATATGTCACTAATAATTATATCAAAAACTATTTAAAATTTACACTTGAAAGATATATTTCATTTAAAAGTAAAATCTAATTTAAAAATCAGAAAAATCTATACTTGAAGGAATTCTTTTTCTTTAAAGAAAGCATTAATTTTCATTAAAATCTAAAGCTAGTAATAATGATGTCAATTCTAAAACTAAATATTTTCTTGCATATTCAATGTACATTTTTATAAATAATAAACATAATCATCACTAAGAAAACAATTATTAATTCGTAAAAATTCAGCTGATATCTTAACAATTAATGAAGGAATATATATAGAACCATAACATATTGAAATATTCTTTACAATATTTTAGTAACGAATAACAGTCTAATAGCATTCACCTAATAAACATTATTCAAAGAAGTTTCAACTCCATTCGATCGATATCTTTCAACATATAATAAAAATTTGCAAGATATACTTTAGTTTTTCGTATATAGATATATACAGTGGATCCCAAAATCGTTCAACGAGATGTAATTTGGAGTTTTTTTCGTAGCCTTAAGTGCTAGAAAGAATTCAAATAGTGATTTGAATAGAGAATATTGTTGCCAACAAGAATTCGAGAAAATGATAGCCATCATGAATTTTTCCAAAGTAGAGTTTCTGGAAAACCAAAACTCGGGCCTTTTCAACATCCAAAAGCCACAACAGAAAACTTGTTTTAACAGTCTAGAATTATTGAGTAGGCAATTCTCCACAAAATGAGATGCCTCTGAGCTTTCTACGACCTTCTCTTCAAAAGTTAAAAGCGGTACAAAAATCGAAAAAAGTGAAATTTGAGAAAATCGACTAAAATACGCATTTTTTCGATTTTTGTGATGCTTATAACTTTTGAATGGAAGTTCGTAGAAAGCACAGAGATATCTCATTTTGTAGAGAATTGCTTGCTCTATAAATCTAGACTGTTAAAACAAGTTTTCTGTTGTGGCTTCTGGATGTTGAAAAATCATGGTTTTAGTCTTCTAGAAACTCTACTTTGGAAAAATTCACGATGGTTATCATTTTCTCGAAATCTCGTTCGCAACAGTATTCTCTATTCAAATCACTATTCGGATTCTTTCCAGCACTTAAGGCTACGAAAAAAAAAAATTCAAATTACATGTTGTTGAATAATTTTGGGACCCACTGTATATGAAGGCGTCCTTAACGGTTTAACTCATTTAAATACGGCTGAACTTGTAAACTAAATGTATTGGGTTGATATTGATACATTTATTAACATATTGCAATTAATATGTATAACTGATTTGTAGTTTAATAATAAGCGGATTAATTCTAATTCATTGATATCTTCATGCAACTTGTATCTACACTGTTGCTTTGACTTTTTTTTCTAGAAGCTAAGATATAAAATAACTAGTTATCTTCAAAAAACACTAGTCGAACAAGAAATTTTTCGGTTTGATATTTTTCTTTTGAATAGATTAATGAGAAAAATATCAAATGATAATAGATAGTTTAAAATCAAGATAATGAAAATATTCCATTTGAGATAGCATTGAATTTTTTTCACGACTATTTTCTATAGATTCATAAAGACATGCATTTTATATATGAAAGCAAAAGAGAACATCAATCCCATTGGTTCAAGATAACCATTAACAAAATTTTTCAACCTCCTTAAAACAAACAATTTTTTTTTTAAATGTCTACTGCTAAATGAAATGAATTAAATCTTTCTTATATAAATAATATCTTTAAAAATGAAAAAGTTTTCATAAAATAACATGTGATTGGTTTATCTTAAGTTAGATAGATAAATTGAAACAAAGACAACAGAAGATGAAAGATGTTTCGTCGAATTGAATTGATTAACTATTTTTTTCCTTCTGTCAATATAAATCGAATAATTTTTAATTTTAGATATATTTTGTTTTTTTCGTTTAATATTTCTAATGGGTCGACATCGTTCACGTTCAAATTCACGTTCACGTTCTCGATCAATGTCTTCAAGTTCGTCGTAAGTTTAATTAAAGTTTTTTTTTTTTTATTAAGAACAGTTTATTTGGTATGAATTTTTTTTGTATATTAATGAAGTGGCCGTGGTGCACGTTCATCAAATTGGAATGGTGAAGCAGGTTATCGTGTTCATATATCAGATTTAGCAGCTGGTGTTTCACGTAAAGAAGTTGAAAGAGTATTTACTAAATATGGAACTATTAATGAAGTTTGTTAAATTTCTTTTTATTATTTTGTTAATAATCAAAAAAAAATACATGTATATCTAGGTATGGGTAGCAACAAATCCACCTTGTTTTGCTTTTGTTAATTTTAAACATCGATCTGATGCTGATAAAGCTATACGAGAAGTTGATGGAAAGTAAGAAATAAAAATATTTATTTAATAATTTATTATTATTATTTTATTAGAATAATTGGTTCTACACGTGTTGGTGTTAGTTGGGCACGTACTCGTACTTATGGTGGTCGAAATCGTGGAGGTCGTGGTTATTCATATCGATTTAGTGGTAGTCGTCGTCGATCAAGGTAAAGTTAATTGTCATCTAAGAATTTTATATTTGCGGATCCTATGACGAAGATGATGATGATGCTTTGTTTTTTGTTTTTCTTCATATCAATGTTGAAAGGCATAATCAAAATTGAATTTTATTTCGTTAGAATAAATAATAACATCCACTTAATTTTGATTCTAGTAGCTTCGCGGGTTTTCGGATGGTTTTTGATGATGATGATGATGATGATGATGATTTGTTGGTTTTTTTATTCTAACGACTTGTATATAGTCGGACCAGATAAGACGATTGGGCATTTGTTTTTTTCCTTTGGTTAAAAGCTTTACAGAAATAAAATAGTGTTTATATTTGTTTGGATCTTCTCGGCTTTTGGGCAAATTGTGCTCGGCCAAAACGGATATCGATGGAAAGTTGTGATTTATTAATTATTTGTTAACTAATGTTCTGTATTTTATTCAATTAAATAGAAGTCGTTCAAGAAGTAGTTCACGTTATCGACGACGTCGATCAAGATCACGATCAGGTTCACGAGGTAAATTTTATTTTTCGATTTACTCTGTTATATGTTTATAATTTTTTGTTTTGTTTTAGATCGTTCACGTCGTCGTAGTATATCACCACGAGATCGTAAACGTGGACATCATTCAAGTGATCGACAAGAATCCAAATCACCTCGATCAATTTCACGTTCTCGATCACGATCACATGTATCATCAAAACATAAATCACCTGGTGATGCTAATGGGTAAGAGAAATGTTTAACAAAATTATCCTTTATTGAGAATATCAATTTTAGAACTGTAATTTTAATACAATAATATGTAACATAGAATATCAGGTTTAGTTAAAGTAGAAATGAATTTTTGAAAAATTTATCCTTGTAACTATATAGTATCTTTCATGAAATTGAAATCAATCAGCTCTAAGTGAAGCTTACAGTTATTCACTGAAATATGATGTTGTTTTTTTTTTGTTTGGATAATGATTGATAACTTATTTTTAGACGAAGTCGATCTCGTAGTTCAAGTGTTGATGATCGTCATGATAACAGAGGAGCTGGTTCATCGTCAGCTGCTGGAGCTGATGGAAATAATACTTATGAGTAAGTAAAAAGGTGACTACAATTTTTTTGATCCCCATAACATCTATATGTAGATTTATAGAGGAAGATTTCTTCTACAAACCTATATATATATCGTTCTGTGATCGAAAATCATCGTGAAACTTATAGCCTCCTTCAATTAATTTTTATATTTTTCTTTTTAGTCGATCACCAATTGCTGCCGGTGAAGATTAGAAATGATCGTTAATCAAAAGACATTTGATATATATTTGTCTTAAATAGTCATATACCCTAAATTTTTTGTCTTTATGTATCTTTGTCTTGAACTTCTATTGATGTATTCTTTTTTTTTGAACTAAAAATAAAAAAGTATCGTATGATGGTAAAGATATTCTAATTGATATAGTCATTGTAACATCTTTGAAAATTTCGGATATGATGAACTCCTATGAAATAATCAAATAATAGTGTAGATCAAATTGTAATATGTTAAACAAGTTTATAAAATCTTTATAACAATGAAATTTTTCAAGATCTCACGTTAAATCATATGAAATTGAAGATTTTTCAAATGTTTCTATTTGATTGTTTGGTTTGAAAAGACTAATATGTATGATGAACGTTTTAATTCGTATTCTAATATAACAATTCGATTTGAATGTTTTATTTCAAGATGAAAATGAAGCATATATGTATGTCAAAGTTGAAAGTAGAATTCAATATAAGTTTTAACTTGCAAATACAAACACGTCTCTCTCGATGTGAGTGTCACAGAAACATTGATGATTGAAAGTTGAAACTACTATCGGATTAGGGAAAGAATTTTTGTATTTGATTCTCAATATCAAAGGAATTATGAGTTTTCTAAATAAAATAAATATGAAGAGAACCTTATCTCTCATCCGAAGTGGTAAAAAGTTCTTTTTCAAATGAGAGTAGTACATATAAGAGTCCTATTTTTCATCTTGATGCCTGTAAATCTCTTGAACGGTATGATTTGAAGACATGTAAAGTTTTTTTTTATTGATGTACTTTTGTTGGTCGAACATTTTCAAAAAGCTTTACGAAAATTCCATGTACTGTATCGCAAATCGATTTTGAACGGAGTAGAGGAGGAGAGAGCACGATCTTAATCAATAATAATCATATTAAAGACAACGGTATATTCAAAATTAGTATATGTGATTCTTTTATAGGTCAATATGACATAACGGTACATATTGTTTTGTTCTTTTGAGTAATCAAAATATTTCATTAGTGTTTTTGTGTAAATAGATCGATGCTTTTTTTTTCTTTTGGATATAAATAGTTCTTATTATATGATAGAAATTCTTTTATTCAATTTTTGAATTGTATAATAATTAGTATCAATTAAATTTTTCAACAGTTTATTGAAAAAAAATAAACAGTACAATTTCTATAAATGTAGTATTATACATTGTTAGTTACTCGTAGACAATATTAGAATTTGATAACTGTTGGATTTTTTTTTTGATTGAAATCCGTTATTCTGTTTTCAGATAAATCTCTTTTCTTTTTGCCAAAAGAATCCGTGGATTTTTCTGGTAATACCTCTCTTGATTTACTTCTCATTGGTTTTGCTTCCAATAATTTGTCCCACATACTTTTATGTTTTTTATTTATTTCTTCAGCGTTATGTACTTGATCAGATCTACTACGTAATAAATTACTGCGATGTTCACTGGTTTTTTTATCACCTTTTAAATGTTTTGTTGATACACTTTTTTCTACAGGAACTGAAGACGTAGATTGATGATATTTTTTCGAATGCGTTCGATCTTTGTTTTGATGTGATTGAGATTTCGCTTGTTGAATATATATAACTCGTTGTAATAATTTAAAACATTCACTATCTTGTTTCGTATAATCAATTGCTCGATTACCTTTATAATCAGTTTTATTTATATCAGCATAAGCATTTATAAGTACACAACATGTATTAATCATCTCTAATCTCGCAGCGAACATTAATGGTGTACGTCGATTATTATTTTCTGCATTAACATCACAGCCTCTATTAATTAATTTTTCTAATAAATGCATTTGTTGATCATTAGCTTTATGTTGACAAAAGCAATGTAATAAAGTATTTTGTCCAGTAGCCACGACAGAACGACATGATGCACCCGCACTTTCTAGTAGACTAAACATTACTAAATCACCATTTGTTATTGAAAAATGAATCCTAAATAAAATAGAAATTAGTTTTCGAAGATGAATTTAAAAAAGAAATATTTACGGTCGATTTTGAAATAGTTTTTCTACATAATTTACGTTAGCTTTTCTTTCAACCAATAATTTTGCCATTGCTAGATTTTTTGTTCTTGCAGCTGTCATTAATGGTGTTTCCATAATGACATACTCTTTGCGACTTTCATCAAAACAAGTATATGGTGATGTTTTATCTATATCAGCTTTATTATTTAATAAAATGGTAGCCATTTCAACAGCCATTTTTGCTTCAGGTGATTTATCATCTTCATAGATTGTTGTAGCTAGAAAACCAAGTGGTGTTTGACCACCAATAAAATTTGGTTGATCAGGAGAAGCTCCTTCTTCAAGTAATAAACGAACAGTTAATGGTGATGCATGTTTGATTGCTAATAAAAGTGCTGTATTTCCTTTATTATCTAATGGTTTATGAAGAAAATCACGTTTTACATCCAAAATTCGACAAATTTTATTGGTATTATCAGCCAATATAGCAGCATGGAATGTTGATGAATTTGATTTAAATAATTGGGAGAAAAATGTTTTCGACATGACAATAATAATATCTAAAAAGTTAAGTAAGATATTTATATAGACAGCTCGATGAAAAAAATGAATACTACATTGGACAGGTAAACTGACTACGTGTTTTTTTTTTCATGTTCTATTGATGCGCAAACAAATAACAATAGACTGAAGACTAACCGATGAAAATTATTACAGGTAACGAAAACCAAAGAATCATACAATATTTTCACGCAAAAAAAAACCATACATAAGCATATGTAGCAAAACAAAAATCATAAGATATTTGCTTATATAAAAAAAAACCAATAAAAATATGACGTTTGATAATATTGCTATTAGCTTTTAGATATCACCGTGAATGATGTTTTTTTTTGTCATGATTGTGTATTGACATTGTTTGCATAATTATCAATCGTTTATATTCGATATATTATGGTTGATAAGAAAAGTTAAGGTCAACACAATATATAATGACCTGTATAAATGATACAAGAAAGTGAGTCTACATAGCCGTGATTAATATAGTGCGATAGTTTAAAAATCGATTAAATCTAATACACCCACGAACTTGAATCATCAAAAAAAAATTTCATAATTTTCGTGAATTTTATATCGGAAACACGAAAAAAAATGATATTTCTAATGATGAAACGGACAAAAAAATTGATCTTTTTCAAATTCATTGATGAAAAATGACCTTTTAATTTAGGAAATGCACTGAATTTCATTTTTAATCAAAATCATGCAATGAAATTAATGAAAATATCTATTTTAATCGATGCATTTGAAACATATCAATTTTTTGTCTGTTTCATCATTAAAATGCTTCATTTTTTTGATTCTTTAACTGTCTAGGCATATTTTTGTATGTATTAATGCTTAGTCAAATATAATCTATGAATCATCATTTTCAAAAAATGAGTATTCTGTTTTGTAAAACTTACTTTATATACGCATATATGTATTGATAAAGATATATTCATCATTTTTTTCGTGAACTTATTCTTAATAATATTTTTCTAAAAATATTCAGTTGTTTATACTATTTTGATATAATGATACTGATTTTTACCCCGCTTTTTTTACGTATTTCGCAGATGATTTTTAAAAGGTATTGCATAAAAATAGAACCACATATTTTTATTCTCTTGGATGGGAAAAACCGTTCGGATTTGGTGAAAAACGAACAAAAGAAAATCTTATTGTTTTTGTGTATTTGAAAAACGTAAATCGATCGTATTAGTAGTGTGTAATATTTTAAGTTATAATCCATATAATAGTCGACGTATTCATACGATAATTGGATATAGTTGTTGGTTTTATTTACTCCAAGACGAACTGATAGTGAGAATCAAGGAGTACGAACTTTTTCCTAAACAAAAGATTAATTCAAAAGTGTGCATATGTGTAACCAACATCCACAAGATGTCCAGTAATGATTTTTTTTTTCAAAATTGAATACCTTAACAAACGAGCATTCTTTTCGGTTAAAAATTTTCAGGATATTCTACGGATTATTCGACCTATTGTTCGGTAAAATTTTAAATTGAAATTTTAGTTTTTGATTTTTCTCTATATACGTAAAACCGACTCGAAAATTCAGTAAAATCATCATCATTTGATTCTAAAGGCTCGATAGGTACAAACTTTTTTAGACTTTTGCTAGTTTTACCAAGACATCATTGTGGATCCCGTATAAACTCAAACGATGAGTATTAGTTCAGGTAATTCTTTTGTGAGATACACCAGTTACGATGTCGGCACATACTTCAATAATGGATAAATACATTAAAATATGTTATTTCAAATGTATTTAAATCTCAAAATTCTTTTCTTTAAAATTTTTTTGAATACTAGCCTGTACTGTTTCATTAATCATTACTTTTAACATATTAATCCTTCTAGAATCTTATTAAAAGAACCATAACTATATTTTAAATCAGTATGAAATACTTTATTATCCTGCATATGTACAAGAAAATATATATGTTGTGGCCGAAGTTGGAATGCAGCCTGATTCAGAATTCTAATTTCGTTTGGACTAAAGTGGAATTCTAAGTTCGACTAAACTGATTATGGATGAGATTAGAATTCTAATTTCGACTGGACGAAATTAGAATTATTGTTTAATGGCTAGAAACCCATAAAAGAAAAGAGAATTAAGAATCAATTTTTTAAATTTAACAAAAAAAAATTAACAGATATCACAAATTCGGAGTTAATTTTACCCCTCCCCCTCCCCCAAATTAGAACGCCACCCTAAAATAAAAGACCATTCTCACCCTAATGTTTCGGTTGACATAAAAGAAGATCGCGAGGTTTTTCAAAAAGATTTTCACAAATCCAGGATAATTTTGAGGTTTTAGCAGTTAAAAGAGTAGTTTTTGAGTGAAAAGCTAAGTGTTCATTATTAAAAACACTATTTTCTCTCAGATTCAGCGAATTTTACAGTACTTGAGTATAAAATTTGTCTATTTAAAGGCTAGAAAGCTTATTCTAAAATACTTGGTCTTACAAGAATCTTTTGACAAAAACGTTAGTCCATATTAGAAAGTCACTTTCGGAAGAACGATATAAATTTTCGGAATCGAAGACCATGCCTTCTTATGTTTTGGAGAGGGGGAGGGGATACTCGATGTTAGAACAGGTACCTTTCTTTGAGTGACATTCGGTAGAACAAGATGCGTTAGCTCTTTTCACACTCCCACCGTCACAAACAAACTTATGAATATTTTTTATTTATCTTTTATCGCTTAATATTCATTAAAAAATAATTCTAATTTCGTCCAGTCAAAATTAGAATTCTAATCTCGTCCATAATCACTTTAGTCGAACTTAGAATTCTACTTTAGTCCAGACGAAATTAGAATTCTAGTTTCGGCTGGACAAATTCCGAATCAGACTGCATTCCAACTTCGGTCACAACATATACAAAGATATTTGTTTAAGACTCCCTCAGAAAATTCACTTTTTCGGAAAAAAAAATCAAAATTCAGTTTTTATAGTAGAAGGATGCGGCGCAGTTTCTTATCTTAGAAAATATATGACATTTCCAGAAAAGGTCAAATTTTAACAGACGTTCGGAAGAGATTTCGATTCTACTACCTTGTTTTCCAAGAAATTTTCGTTGTATTGTTGAAGTTTTTTTAGTTTTGGGAAGGCAAATTTTTTTATTTGCATCAATACTGAATAAACATTCTTATATAATTTAAACACAATAGATGATGCTAACTTACGTCATCTGTTATATACTTTTCAAAATTCCATTTAAATATATTATGGCATTCTAATTGTTCATTACATCATTTTATTTATTTCCATATTTCGAATAAAAAGTTAATTTCAATAAGATTAGCTTTACTATATGCTCATAGACGTATAATCATCATTAAAGAATAAATATTTCAAAGAAAAAATTAAATATTTTTGTCTACGTACAGCTCATTAACAAGACGATGAAAGATTATTTCTTTTTCGTTGAATGTAAAGATAATTATAATAATAACAAGCGCCCAAGTAAAGTTTTTTCGAGAATGATTACGTATCAGATCTTCCCATGGAATGGAATGGAACGAACAAAAATTGGTCCATAGGATAAGCTGCTCCAACCTGTTCCATGGATTGGGATACGTTTTAAAAATTTTTTTATCCAATGGAATAGAATAATTATAGAAAGTGTTGTCCCATTCCAGAGACCTTAGCCTTCGTCGAATACATTTTAAAAAAAGACAATTTATTGACTACGTAGTTTTCTCAATAGATGCAGTGATATTTATTATAATGAAAAATCTCTTTAACTGAGAGAATTGACTTTATTTTTAATTTTCATGTTGCTTCAAGTATCTTTGACTAAAGACAGCACTTCGATATCTCTGTGGTTATGAACGTGGTATTGGTTCAATTTAAAATCAGATGAAATCTATACTATCTCCTTTTGATATTATTTAAACATAATTGCGGCAACAGTAGTGTCAAAATTTTCTGTCCCATCCTATAGGAGACTTGATGCATATTATGTTTGTTTGATTAGCTGATCGTGCTCGATTAATTGGTAGTAAAATAACTAACCATCTACTAATATAAATAAATGAATCTAAAACCTAAGAAAAAATTGGATAGCAGTATTTTTGATTACTAAATCATTTAGATATTTTGGATCATCAACCTTTTTCAGTATTAATTTTGCATTATCATTTCTCAATAAAGTCTAAGTGCTGCTTCAGGTTGATCACAACCTCACTCCACTCTAGGGATGCAACGGTGACGATCATTCACCGGTTAACCGTAGGTACGGTTACCGGTCTCACTACGATAACCGTACCTACGATTACCGGTCCAACTACGGTAACCGTAGGTACGGTTACCGGTCCAAGTACGATAACCGTAGGTAGTTATCGGTTCAAACTCATTGTCAACCGATAACCGTAGGTAGTTACCGGTTCAAACCCGTTGTCAACAAAAACAGCATTTTTTAAGAAAATAGCGATATTTTATAAAGGTTGGCGAAAGTAAATCGGGGTCGAGGAATCCGAATCTGAAGTCAGTTTTTGAAAATTTTGAATTGAATTTTTTCGACAAAGGAAAGAGTTTTTAAAAAAATAATGATATTTTATAAAGGTTGACGAAAGTAAATCGAGGTCGAAGAATCCGAATCTGAAGTCGGCTTTTGAAAATTTTGAGTTTTAGTTCTTCACATATGATGTTTTTCAGGAATAAAATTTTCTAGAAAAAAATATGATTTTCAAGGAGCGGTTTAGTCTTGGGAAGAGAAAATTGAAAAGTTCATGGATCTGATTTCAGATTCGGATTCTTCGACCTTGACTTACCTTTCGTCAACCTTTATAAAGTATCATTATTTTTCTAAAAAAACCCTTTCCTTTGTCGAAAAAATTCAATTCAAAATTTTCAAAAACTGACCTCAGATTCGGATTCTTCGACCTCGATTTACTTTCGTCAACCTTTATAAGATATCATTATTTTTCTAAAAACTCTTTCCTTTGTCGAAAAAATTCAATTCAAAATTTTCAAAAACTGACTTCAGATTCAGATTCCTCGACCTCGATTTACTTTCGTCAACCTTTATAAAATATCATTATTTTTCTAAAAAAACCTATCCTTTGTCGAAAAAATTTAATTCAAAATTTTCAAAAACTGACTTCAGATTCGGATTCCTCGACCCTGATTTACTTTCGTCAACCTTTATAAAATATCGTTATTTTCTTAAAAAATGCTGTTTTTGTTGACAACGGGTTTGAACCGGTAACTACCTATGGTTATCGGTTGACAACGAGTTTGAACCGATAACTACCTACGGTTATCGTCACCGTTGCATCCCTACTCCACTCTGTGCTGTTCTTCACTGTTAATCAAGCCAATTAGAGCTAAGGATGTTGTTGGCCTAGAGAATAACCAAAGTACAGTAGGTAACAGGTTAAAAAATCCTTCAAAAAAAGATCTCCGACATTTCCTCCATAAAAGAAAATGTCCTTCAGAAAGAGTGTCTCTGCGAAATTGTTCTCTAAAAAAATGTCTTTGCAGGGTGTGAATGTGAGTGAGGAGAGTATTAGGTGTAGTTTGACGATTACACGACACTTCCGCGCAACGACATTTCCGCGCACGACACCACCGCGCGTGACACTTCCGCGCTAAATGAAGTTTTCTATTTTTCCTACGTTAAGTTAATACATCTTCTAAAATTTTATTAACTGTTCTGTTGGTGCGGCTGCAGAGTTTCGGTGTGAGTGTGGGAATGGAACGACAGCAATAGGAACCCTAATGCCAACAACCACAGTCCAACACCCAAGTCTACACCAGATATCATATCCGAATCCAAGAGCCACATAGAAGATCACGCCGACACCAACCTACATGCACACTTCACAGTCCAAGTCCACACCCACAGCAGCACCGATACCTGGAGTGCCCGAGGCATCACCTAGCACATCAGTAGCATTACATGAGATGTTAGTAGCATCACCGGAATGCTAGAAGCATCGTCTGGGTTCCTAGAGATATTATCTTGGATGATAGAAGCATCACTAGAATGCTAGACACATCATCTAGGCTGCTAAGCGCATCATCCGGAATGCTGGTTATATTATATTTGATGCTAGAAGCGACGCATGAAAAGCGAGGAGCATCACTTACGATTCTGCGAACGATCCAAGTGGTACCTGTGGTATCCGAGGTTATGCCTATAGTAATCTAGGTAAGGCTTCTAGTACTCTAGTGATGCTTCTAGCATTTCAGATAATATCACTAGCAACCCGCGTGATGTCTCTAGCAGTTCACGTGATGCCTCTAGCTTCCCAGGTGCCAGTGTCAGCATCCTAGTTTTCCATTAAAAAACAATCTATCTTTCAGAACAGATGAGATCCATCAGAGGACTTCCTCAGTGAGGTCTCGATTTGAGCATAACTGCTTGAGTAGTTCCCTAAGGTCGGAAGAACTCTTCGAACAGTTCATTTCATCTGAGCTGAACAGTTGAAAAAAATTAGATCAGATCACTTTTACAAGCTGCTCATCAGTTTCGAACTTTTACTGAATTGCCCTACGCATGCTCCACATGCTCGCACATTCCGCACGGGAGCCCAGACTCACAGGTCTATTCATGGAGGTTTAGAAGATGCATTAACCTAAAGCAACAAAAACAAAAAACTTCATTTAGCGCGGAAGTGTCGCGTGCGCAACTATTGTGCGCGGAAGTATCGTGTCACGAAATTTTATTTGTTCAATTTACATAATCTGAACGATTATCTGTTCATTGTATTACTTTTTCTTGATGATATTGAGTAATATATTCCGTCAGACACTGAGAAATTTTGATGCTTATGAATGATTTTCTGATAGAATTTCTTTTGTAAAACGAATAAAATATTTTCTATTTCAATTAAAAATACTGACAAGAAAAGAAATTATTAGTCGTTCTAATATCATTTATTTTGTCTTTTTACAGTAAAATACTTTTATGCATTATTTGCATTCTTTTCTTTCATTCAACGTGTAATGCAGACCGAACAGAATAGAATAAAAACAGAACAAAACAACACGCGGTGTTGTGAAATACGAAGGAAGTGATTGTTTTTCTATTTAGCGTGGATATTTTGTGTTGAAAAATCGTAAGTTGTAAAAAATCAAGTGAAACGGATTCAAACAAATACAGGAAGTTGGTTTACATGGATACTCATAAGTATCAAAAAATTATACAAATTTCAACGTGCATTGATCAAAATCTTTCATCATCAAATATTCAACAACAAACTATCAAAAATGGTTTACATCTATTACCAAATGAAATTTTATTTTGTATATTTGATTATCTACTACCTATCGATATTGTTCGAGCATTTCAATATGACTTACCACGATATGGTATACTTATTCAACAACATATTGTTGTACATGGTTTTAATTTAGTAAATATTAAGCCGAATGATTTTCATTTATTACCAATATGTTTATCGCTGATCAAACAGCAACATCTAAGTATATGTGTTAATGATAATTATCTATCAACTGTACTTAACTCTGTACCATCACTTAGTACACTTACTGTAATTCTTAATAGATCTTTTGAACAAAGTTTTCTATCAAATATTCAACATAAATCAATTAATTGCACGAAATTAATACTTCAATATACACCTAGCAATCATCGTCAAATGAATGATATTGATATTATACCATTATTATCAGTATTAGTTGATACACTCATTCTACGTAATGTTGTTTTTCTTGTCGATCAGTCAATAACGCATTATACTTGCAATTCATTACGTCATATTCGATGTATTTTAAAAAATGAAAATGATCTTTATCAGCTCTTAATACGATCTCCTATGCTAATATCAATTGATATACGACTTGTATCTTATGAAATACTTGAAATTTCAACAGTATTACCATTACCAAAACGTTTTCGAATAGAATATCCATATGGAACAATACTTAATCTAAGTAAATTTCCTGAAGAAATCAGATATTATGATCAAACCATCTATTCTCTTCCTTGGTTGGAAACAAATTCTTCTTTAGTACTTCGGTCTTGTAATCCTCAAAACTATCTAAACAGTTTTCCTCATTCATTACCATATATTCATCAACTTACGATTGAATGTACATCAGAGCCATGGTCATCTGAATTCGTTAAATTTCTTCATCAAACATTTCCAAATACACGTACGCTATATGCGATGCAGGAAGATAATGGAAGACGAATAGTAATGACAATTATTACGTCAAATGATAGAAAAAAAGGTCGATGTACATTATATCAACCGTATCATCAAACGTCAAATGACTTAACATCACTTCCAGAACCAATACGTTTTATCAATACTGATCGTGTTTATTATTAAGACAGATTAGCTATTGATTTGCATTTTAAAAAAAAATTGCTATTCTAATAGTTTTGTTTGTTTATTCATCTTTCTCAACAAATTTTTAACATGAAGTTTAAATGTATTAGAATATTTTCATTGGGAAAAGCGTTTGTCACAAGATTTAACCAAAACTAATAGTTGCCAGAAAATTCAAAGTGTTATCAGAAGACAATAATATCAGATATCAAATAAATAAAAACTTTTTTTATCTTGATTTTTAGTGAAGTCTTGTATCTAATTTCAATTATTATCGGTTTTTTTTAAATCTAGTAGACCAGGTCCAAGCACAAACTTCATAGAGTTCTGAAAAAATATGAATTTGAGACAAAGTTCTTAATAAATATATTCAGTAATCATTCGCGACTATTCAGAGAAGTATCAATTGATAGTAGAAGAAGTAAAATTGAAAAAGAAAACATTTTGATATATTTTTCTCAAGACAGTGATGATTGAATGACTTGATAGATTCAAATTCATTTGCTCATTAAAAAAAAATAACATCGTCTTAAAATAAAAGAAACATATTAAAAAAAATTGTTCTGTGTTTTTTTTTTGATAACATTTTTTGCTCTACGTGCAATGACAAGACAAAAATTTTGTATTGTCGACACAGCGATGTTACTGATATTAGCAAACGTTAGGATTGTGTTCTGTTTCTTTCTATCATATTTTATTCTATAAATACTATTTACTTTTATCTATCTAGAAACACGTGCTTTATTTTCATTTATTGAAAGAGTCGTTACCTTTTATTCGATTTCAAACCTTTTTTAAACTGATGATCTTGAAAAAACTAAAAAAAATAGTCTAATATATGACATTTCCCAATTTACTATCCAATTGCAAAATATCGTTTAAATATTTTATTCATCTAATCAAACCTTTATATCATTTTATTTAAGATTATAAAATTTCATTAATATGGATACTCAATTGGAGGATCTTCCGAATGATCTATTCGTTTAAGTCTCGATATATTGTTGGAAGATAAACAATTTGTAACAATTATTCATTATTTTTCAATGTGTTGTAATCGTTTACGTATTTATAATGTTTGTCTCATTGATTTCACTTGAATGATTTTTACAATTACGTTCATTAACTTTGTTTGAACCGACTGATGCACAAATTAATTCAATTCAATCAACAACATTACCAATGCTTGAATATCTTGCTAGTATGATATTAGTATATCATTTGTAGAGATGTTGTTCTGTTAATGAACTTCTTAAAAGATGATTTTCGATTGTCTATTTGGTACTAATCAACAACAATGGTCATATCTTCGTTCATGTAATTTTTATGTTTCTTATTTTCCAGAAGCAAAATTAAGTTGACAACTCAATTGTGTACCTTGTATTACTTTCGGGTATTATTTGTTCTCGAATGACACTAAGTCAACTTGTTCTATATCTTAGACATTTATGAGTTGATATGATTTCTAATAATTCATCAAATTGGAATTTAGAAATATTCAAAAAGAAAATACTTTTATCATTATGAATTGGTTTTAATCAATTGAATTATGATGATATTTGTGTATTAATTGCTCCACATGTACATCGATTACATATAGAAATATATCATGAAGAAACTTCTATTAATTTTACCTGTTTAGGTACTTTAATTATGTCTTTAACTACAAAATTAAAATAATTCAATTGTGATTGTTGAGGAATGGAAATATCTATAGATGAAATTAAAGCTGCTCATACATTATTTCGAAATATATAATCAATTGAATCATATTCATATGTCGAGATATAATATAAAGCCTTTTATTTCAACATTTTGATAATAATAGATTTCTTTTTTTTTATTATAAAATAATTTTAAAAAAGTAATAAATATGTATTTTAAAATTGATTTTTCAACTAATAGTTAATATATTTATCTAAACTAATAGGCAGAGGAGTTAGAGACTTCAAGGTTTTATAGAATTTGAAATATTAATTACCTAGAGCGAATTGTCTCAGCTTTCGATACCATCGAATCCTAGAAGCATATTCTAGATATTTTGATAACTTTCAACAATTCCCAATAGGATTTTGTCAGATTTCTTGATACAGAATTCAATAGAACATTGTCGATTGCCGCATCTGAAATGTGGCTAACATTAGATAGACTAAGGATCTCGTAGGATCGTTTTGATTTATCATTATAACAGCAACTAAAGTGAATAGTACAATCAGTATAAAAAGTCATAAACGATCGATTATAAGGTTATTCATGCTTATATTAATATCATATAATAAAAAGCATCACATCATTCAGTTATATTATTTAATAGATCATTTATATATATCACCGTTAATAGATATATAAATTAACAATAACAATACATTTTAATTATATTCTATTCACTTATTATTATGCAGATTTTTTATATAAAATAAAACTAAATCAAAAATATTTTAATCATATTTGTATAACTAATCAATATATTTGACAATGAATTTTATGAAAACGACTTCAAAGAATATTATATTCATTGATTACCTTGCAAAAAAAAACAGAAATGAAAAAAATAAAAATAAAAACTAACTTGAAAGAAGAAGAAAAATAATTTCAAATGAATGAAATAGAAGAAATATATATTGATGAAATCAGTGTTTATGATCGGTCTAAATTCAGTGGTATTCATGTCGTCACAGTAATCCAAAATAACATTAATAGATATATCATTAATCTAATCTAATATTGATCTACTCGGATCAAATTGACTTTTTTTTCTATTAATAATTTAATTTCAATTGCAATATCATAATAGAAGATATTTCATCGAAAATATATTTTAAAATTCTTCGAAAAGTTGGAAAAGACAAGATTTGATAAATTATATAACGTTGGATATGGTCAGATTCGATAAGTATCTATTACCAGATGTTATCAAATTCCATTGAAATTTTTCGATCTAAGAAAACCTTCTGTTCTTTTTCCTTAGTATTTACTGATTCCCACTAGATATATTAAAATCTTCGTCATTTCTTTTTCGATCACATTTTGTGCACACATGCGTCATTTATAGCATATTAACCGCATGGCTAGTGTAATTTTTGTTTTGGTAATTTGAGATGTAATTTTAGTCATTAATGTTATTTGTCCTTAAAATCAACCATATAAGATAATAAAATTGTCGAGTCATTGATGTCACTATATTTGATCACTAAATTATCAAAAGAAAGTATGACAACGAAACAAGCTTGACTTAAGAAAAACACCAGGTGATCAATTTCACTAGTAGTAGAATATATATATATATATATATATAAAGCCAAACAATTATCACAGTAGTCACTTCCATCAAATCATCAATAAAAAAATATGGATAGTTTCACATATCTTTCATTATTTATTTTTGTAGCTGTTGCTTCATCGTTCACTCTTCCTGAATTACATGTTATCAAGAAGATATCATTTAAATATCCATATAGTTGTCAACCAGGTCCATCAAGTTATGAAGGTTGTGCTCTTTTTCTGACCGATTATGGTGTATTACGAAATATGCCCGATCTTTTGTATAATGGAGCTTGTGGTTCTAGCAATACCTTTGAAGTGATGTTAGCTGGTGATAATTTCGGTATGTTAAGCGATTTAGGTGATGTACCATTGGAAAATGTCACAGCATCAAAAGCTTTCAATTACAATCGTATAACTGGTGACGACAACACATTCACTAGCACTATCAAAGTAGTTAGTGGACATACTTATGCCGCACTCTTAGCTAAAAGTGAAATTCGAGCATTGTTCGTTTTTCGCGTTGAAAGTTATGAACGAAGTGGTCCAGCTACAATTTCATATGCTGTTAAACAATATGGTATCATTACATTATCACAAGAATCACCTGGCTTTTCTTGGGATGAACCAAATCATTGAATTGAATTGATAACATGTTGATCTGCTTTTTGAAAAAAAAAAATTTCTTATCACTAATATGCATATTTTGAATAAGAAATAAACTATAAGATTATATTTAAAAGTTAGAGTTCATTCGAAAGAAACGACTAAGTTCTTTACAAGATTAACTTCCAAGATACATTTTAAAATTTAATCTAATATTGAAAAATAACGATTCTATTGTAATAGATTCCGATATATATTGTTATGAATATTTTTTTATTATTAATAGAAATCGATATCAGACGTTCTGTAACAATGTAAAACAAAAGTTTTAAAAGATAAATAATGATTCTCATCATAAACTAAATATGTATAATTACAATGAATTGAAGAAATATAAATTATTTAATAGAAGCATTTTAAATATTATATTCAATTTTGGTTTTGTAAAAAATAACAAATGTAATCTGACTCATTGATTCAAATAACAAAATATTGACTAGGCTAATTATTCAATTAAACAATACTTCAATACAGATTAATTTCTATCTTCCATTAGATTTTTTCTTTTTTGGCACAATTAGTAATCTACTTAATTGTTTAATATTTATTCAGTCAATACTGCATCAAATAAACCTATTATCTATTTTCTTGCTGTTAGATTATTCAATTTAATCATTTTTGCATAAGATTTATTTCTGTGTATTCTTCATGATTCAATTTTGATATCAAATTTTGTAAGGTGTCACCAGTCCAAAATCCAAGCAACATTTTTCTTTGACGTTTTTGTCATGGTTCGATAGATCTCGTGGAGTTACCTTTAAAAATGTTTTTTTTTCGTATGTTCCAACAATGTTTTTTGTAGCGAAGTTTAGGAAAATTTGGTTAAAAAAATCAGAATAGTCTTTAATAACTTATGATACGCCAAAAGTATAAAGGCTTGATACCTTTAATATTTATTCGATATTTTCTTTCAATTTTTCTCATTATATGGTTAGGAAAAACTTAAGGATGGTTTGTGAAAAATATTGTTTTATTGTTGAGAAAATCGATTTTTTCGATATGATAGTACAGCACCATTAATACGGGTTCATATTCAAAATCAGCAGAAAAATCTGCATCGAAAACTAAACTGAATACTTAAAATAGGGTTTTTTTTTACAATTTTCGATCCTTATACTTCCTCGCTGTTCTTTTTTTCGAATAATCTGATCTGTTATTCCTCTAAAGTCGAAAGTTGGCGATAATTTATTTTAAGTATTAAATTTAGTTTTTGATATTCATTTTATTTGTAATCAAAGCTCTGATGATCAAAATCTCTGAATATAAATCCGTATTAATGATGCATTACTATCATGTCGAAAAAAAAAAATCGGTTTTCTCAACAATGAAAGAAACAATACTTTTTAAAAAATATCCTTAATTTGGAGTATTTCAGTTTTTTTTTCTAACCTAATTTTCTTAAGGTTCGCTACAAAAACATTGTTCGAATATATCAAAAAAAAACCGCTGTTCAAAACTCGAATATACTAATACCTCACCTACACGGTGTAAAATTCGTACGACTACTATTTTCGTAAGACGATCTATCACTTAAAATGATTGACTGTAATCACAACTATTTAAAATCAATCGACATTGAGTGAATTATTTAAAACAAATTATTGAATGTTTATTCTTATTTATATTATTATAAAAAAATCTGAAGTTTATTGTATAGATAATAATCTATGTCGTCAAAATAATTGTTTTGTTTTTTAGATACTGTATTATATTTGGCACAAATAATACAATTATTCTTTATCATATGTCTTTTCATCAATCGAAATTATTTGTCCAATGAACAATAAAAGATTTTATTTTCAATATTATTAATATAATTTTCTATATATTATGTAGTTTTTTATTTTATTTAAATACATTAAATGAAAGTCATTTTTGAAAAAGAAATCATATAATTTAATTGTATGGTAAAAGATAATTTCGCGTAAAGTTTAACGATGAATCGTAATGAATCGGATTAAATGTAAATGTTTTGTGTTTTTCTCAATTACTATTCATAATAAATATTCAATTATATATAAAAATAAAGTGAATTTCAAGCTCTACCAAGCTGTGTACTTCAATTTTTAAAAAAAACGACTGTTTTATTTTGAATATTAATACATCCTGTATATTCCAACTGCAACACATGGTGCCTTTTTCTATTCAAAAGCATTACGAATCGTTTCAAAATAGATCTCAAAAACAAAGAATTGTATATTAGATGGTAGCGATTCTTCATCTTAATTTTGAGGAGATTTTTAAAAAGTGAAACTTTTTTCGAGTGAAAATTCGCTCGCAAAGCGTGACGATTTTTTGATAGAAGAAGTACTAACACTGCTGAAACTATGCTTTATTTGGTTTCCTCATATCATCAATCACATCGTTTACATATAAAACACATGTTTATATACGCAGTTAGGATCATATCAACATCAGACACATTCCTGGGCATCTGAAAACGAATAGAAAGCAAAAAGTCATGAAAGTTTACATCAGACAAATGAAATTGCCAAGATAGTATAAAAAAATTACTCATACATGCCGAAGGTTCAAAGTATGAGGAGAAAAGTTCGGAAAAATAGCCGATAATAGTAGTCAACGTTGTAGTTAGATTGAAACATTTCAGAAAGGTTGCACATGGCAGACAGTCGATATTGAAGAGATAAATCGATATAAAAAAATGACAAGTAAACAAATAAGTAACTGTTTGACATGACAGTCAGTACGGAATAAGGCTGAGACTCAACATTTGTGTTTGTAATTTGTCACACGATTGTGTAGTTGATTGACTGACAGACCGTTTATTTCAGTTGTCAATGTGGGTGTGAATTTATTGTTATTGTTATTAATAACAATAACATTTTTGTTATTGTTATTGATAACAACAACTTTTTTGTTATTTGTTATTAATAACAATAACTTTTTTTTGTTATTGTTATTAATAACAAAAAAATAACAAATAACTTTTTTTTCCGAAAAACCTCTAACTACTAGCGGGGAAGTTACCTTTACGTTCCACGCTAACCCGTAGCCTTGGGTCCTCAAGTCCTACTATTCGGGAGTACCTTTAGGTCCTCAAGTTCTACTATTGGGGGTATCCTTAGGTCCTCAAGTCCTACTATTGGGGGCACCCTTGGGTCCTCAATTCCTACTATTGGGGAACCCTTGCGTCCTCAACTCCTACTATTGGGAAGTACCCTTAGGTCCTCAAGTTCTACTATTGGGGGTACCCTTAGGTCCTCATGTTCTATTATTGGGAGGTACCCTTGAATCTTCAGGTGCTTTCACAAGGACATCTTTGAGTTCTGTGGTCCTATTGTTTTGGGCACTAGATGTCCGACATTACCGTAACTGTTACTAGGTTGTTAGTGACGGCGTATTTATTCGTTGACGATTAACAGTAAGACCGGTATTATTTTGTTACTTGATAAATATAAACCTCTCCCCCCCCCCCCTCCCCCACACAATAGAAGCTCAGGGGGTGTGTCTTTGTTCCACAAGCTATAACTTGGTAACAAAGCTTGTCCTGATGCCTGTTTTTTCGTTATTTAGTAGAGAAATGTTCATTCTTTCATTTTCCATCGATTTGAATTCATTTTTTATAAAGTAAACCTCGATTTTCAATGAAGAATTCTAACCGAAGGGGTGGGCTTCTATTGTGTGGGGGTTTACTGCTTGTTTCAGTGCTATTCCCGTAACCGATGGGCTACGTGTGAACCTGGCACGGCTATAATAGTGGATAATGCCAGGGCGGCCGGAGTGGGCATCGGTAGTGATAAGGAGCAATTCATCGGATTACAGGAAGATCTCCACTGGCTATCGTATAAAGTTTCGGCAGTCTTTAATCCTGTTGCATTCTGCGTTCCCAATTCTTTTTAAGCGCTATGTTATAGAAGAACCCAGATTAAGGAAGGTACTATCCGATGAAGTAGCCGCAACTTTTTCAAGACTTTCGGATTAAGAGCATTGCTATTGGATAGATTTTCTTTGCACTAGCAACTGTGCATGAGAACTCGTTGTCAGGTTAGTCTGTAGGTGGTTACGAGTAAGCACAGTTCTACATCTTCATTTTTCATGGTTGGGACAGGTGTACTCAGAAACTAACTGTCAGACAACGCGGTTCTCTTAATTACGATTACAATAGCTTATCTGATCTGCTTCGGTCATACAGCTGATTGCTTAACGTGAGCCTGGCTATCACTGCACCAGCCGGATGGTTCTGTGGGTATTAAAGTATAAAAGCTAGCAGCCACACCCACACCCACCGGCAACATCTACATCCACACCCACATACCCACTGTCATATCTCCGTACCCACACCTCCACCCATTATTCACCCTACTTCCTATATTGGGCGTTCAGGGTCTAACGCTACCTCTTTCTAGTAGTATTTGAGAACCCAAGGGTTCCCTCAATAGTAGGACTTCAGAACCAATGGGCATTCCCAATAGTTGGACATGAGGATCCAAGGGTCTCGCAACAGTAGGACTTGAGAACCTAAGGGTATCTTCCAATAGTAGGACTTCAGGACGGAACGATGCCCCCAATACGACGACTTGAGGATCCAAGGGTACCCCACGATAGTAGGACTTCAGAACCTGATGGTACCGCTCAATAGTAGGCCTTGATGACCCAAGGATACCGCCGAATAATAGGACTTGAGGATTCAAGGGTACCCCCAATAGTAGGACTTGGTGATCCGAGGGTACCTCCAATAGTAAGACTTGAGGACCTAACGGTGCCCCAGAATAGTAGGACTTGAGGACCTAAGGGTACCCTCAATAGTAGAACTTGAGAACCTAAAGGTACCCCCGAATAATAGGACTTGAGGACCCAAGGGCACCCCCAATAGTAGGAGTTGAGGACCTAAGGCTTAGGGGTTAGCTGGGAACGTAAAAGTAACTTCCCACTCGTAGTTAGAGATTTTTCAGAAAAAAAAAGTTATTTGTTATTTTTTTGTTGTTAATAACAAATAACAAAAAAAGTTATTGTTATTAATAACAATAACACAAAAAAAGTTATTGTTATTAATAACAAATAACAAAAAAGTTACTGTTATTGATAACAATAACTTTTTTGTTATTGTTATTGTTATTAATAACAACCGAATAACAATAACTTCTCACCCCTAGTTGTCATCGATTCAAATTATAATAGAGATTAATGCGAACGCATTAATCGGTAATTTTGTGATGCAAATAATAGGAATATTGTAGAAGCAAAATAGAGACGAGTCGTGATGTTGGATATCGATTGATATATGAGATACAGGTGCAAACGTGATATTGATGAAGCGAATCACTACGCTGTAGAAGGAGAACACTTCCAAGGCATTCTTTTCAGAGATGGATCAACTATTTATATACCTCGGTCAATTTGTCAATACGAATGCATCGCAGAATGCCGCCACCCAGTCTATTGAGGATGCTCATGAGCATGACAATGTCACACCAGCACTATCGATTTCAAGTACAAGCTTAACATCTTATCATTTGAGTTCTCGTTGTTGAAAACAAATAGCGATGCAAGAAAAATGTTTTAACTCAACATTGAAATGACCGACTTTGAACAGGAAACTACGAAGATCTGTTAGTCATGGTCGTCAGATTTGATAATTTTTTCATAGGAGAAGTACTAGCACGGGTGAAATTACGCTTTATTCGGCTTCGTCACATCATCAATCATATCGTTTACACACCGAACAGACGTTTATATACGCATCAGGTAAAAGAAAGAGAGGAGAATAGATGTAACAGGAAGAATAACTATGGAAGAGAAAAAATATATCGGTGTTGTCAGACGAAGTTACTATTTTCATACCGAAAAATGCAGAATTTGATTCTTGATCAAACTACATTACTGGTGAACCGAAGTGTGAATTCTTTTTTAGTAAAGTCAACTAAAAAAATGAACAGATCCTAAAATCAATGTAAAATTCAGTTTTTCTTTCTTCATTTTTGTTTTCTAACTTTTCAACTGATGTCACGATTTTTATTTCTTTGTTTCAAATACTGCAATAGACAGATATATAGAATATATCAATGCTTAAATTGATGTACAATGGAAGAAAAAAATTCTTTCTCAAAGTGACATTGACAGTTTAATAGAGTTTGAAGTCCTATGTCTTTTGACATATAATTGGATATATTTTATGAATAGTACGTCAGAGAAAAAAAAGCACATGTGCATTTATTCCGATTAATAACGCCCCATTCGTTACATTTCTCATATTTTCATACGAACGAATAATAAAATATAAATGATAAAAATACGATCAAATATTTGTATCGATCTTATATTCTTCCATGAATATTCATGTAGTATAGGCACTTAAAAAAAACGCTTAATTTTTTGAATTAAGTATGATTAATTAATTGAATATGTAAGTAAATTTCAGCTCGAAACTGTTGACATTAATTATATTGATGAAAAACCAAAGATAGAAACATCAGCAACGACGATAAGAAGACGAAGAAGAAGAAGAAAAATAGAAAAGAAAGCATCAAATATATATGCAAAAGAATATTCAGCAACGTTTCTATAATCGTGCTGAAATGCAGATCTGCATCTAAATAAGTTGCTGTCTACATGTGTAATATATTATATTAATAATCAATTTACTTTTTCTTTTTTTTTTTCTAAGCAAGTACAAAAAAAGAACGCAAACTTCTATTCACATATATTAGTTAGGTGGATGCAGCTGTTAAAAATACTCATACATCAATCATTTTACTTGATACAATCTTATTATTCGTTTCATTTTATCGACGACAACGTGAGTTAAAATCTTTGTCTATAAATTATTTCTATCTAATCCATATAAGATCTTGATATATTTATGATTCTACTATTAAGATAATAGAAGAAAAATGATCGACTACAAATGTCAGAATTAAATTCCTATATTCATATTGTATTCTGGGTTTTTCATTCATGCTGATAAAGTTTATACAAGTAAAAGCAACTGTTTCTTATTTATTAATGTGTTAAATAGATATGAGTACTTTATGCGTTTCCTTGTTCTTTTATTTTACAATAAATTTGTATAAATAGAACAAATAGAAATTTCTAGTGGTTTATGGCCAGAGGTATTGATTATTAGTGTACAATTGTTTTTATGTCTGGTATAATTGTTCTGTGAGAATTTATTGATTACTCTTAATAAACATTTTAACGATAAATAAGAGAAAATAGACATTTATAATAATGAGAACCATATATATATATATTCTTTTATTTACATTATTATCGGATGTAGATTTTCTTTAGTGTGATGCATAACATGTCTGTCTGTTCCTGTGTCATTTGCCTAATTTATTTCATCTCTAAAAATAATTTTTTCTAGTAGAATAAATTTAATAGTTATCTTTTCATTTTTCCTGACGAGATTCTTAAATCTTGATTTCTTCCTGTGCATGTTTTTTGTCTTGTCGGATAGAAATAGTATTGGCTAGAATATATTATTATCATTTACTATTCTGTTCTAAATTTCTAGTAGATACTTTAAGTATAATGCGAACTTCAATTATCCAAGTTGACAGGTATGTCGACTTTTGTACCAGTTTTCTACAAAAAATTAGTTTTGAAGCAAAATTTCAATATTTGGACTGATTTTACTCGTTTTTTTTTCTGTTCCATATATTTTTATCTAAAAAAACTTAGATTATGTTTAACACAAATATTAGCAAAAACTTGAGTTTTTGTGAAAAATACGGTGGAAATTGATGTGGATAAAGAAAACTGTAGTAATTTGTTTCCGTTTTTGGTAGAAAATTAGTATTAAAATCGACACGTCTGTCTGCCTGAGCAATAAAAGTTATTATTTTAGACTTAGACGGCATGGTTATAAAAAAAAAACGGAAATAATTAAAAAGTATTGACATGTTGGTTTTTCGTACATACTGAGAAAATAGCGTGATTCAACTTATTATTATGAGTTACGTTGGATAAAAATCGATTTAAAATATGCGACATTTTTCTTTTATTGACCTTAACATTGTACGATTATCTAATTAAACCAATTAACATTGACATCTTAGACAAAGAGCAAAAAATTCAAGACCATGAAAACAATGGAGTAATTTTTGCTTTTTTTTTTGTTTTTTGTATTTGCTACGAATAGAATCAAGTATTCATTTTCTTTTCAAGATTTCGGCTTATTAATAAACATTAAAAGAGTAAAATAAGCATGTATATACTTCGTTAAAGATGAATGTTTTTTTTTTATATATAAGTCATATCGAAGTTACACCGATCGATGAAGTTACAACTTTGTCATATAAGTGTAACGAAGTTATAACTTCGACGCTGACATTTATCGAAGATACAACTTCAACGAAGAATTTGATCAAAGTTATTTTTTAGTACACTTATCAATACATAATTTACTAAATTGAATATTCTACTATTGAATGTATGATCAAAACTAAACTTTTGCTAATAAATATATATTTATTTAACAGTATTTTTAAATACATATATATTTATTAGCAAAAGTTTAGTTTTGATCATACATTCAGTAGTAGAATATTCACAATTTAGTAAATTATTTATTGCTAAGTGTATTAAAAATAACTTCGAAAAAAGTTCTTTGTTGAAGTTGTAACTTCGATACAACATATATATACAAAAGAGTAAGCACGGTTATAAGTTCAATTATAGTCTCTAAATAAATGTGTCATAAACAAAATGAGAGTTGTTTGCCATGAGCTATCAATAAATTCTTAGGCGTGTGTCTATATTTTCCTCTTTTCTGAAGCCGATAAACTGATGCTTTTTGATCAAATAAACGATAAATATATTCTATTTTTGCTCGACATTGCAATAGAGATGAGATATACAAAAATAATTGCATTATGATTATCAGTACATTAATTGAAACATTTGCTTTTTTATAATCAATAGATTACCTATGGCAAATTCATCGTTATCTTTGAATAAGATTTCTGATTATAATTGGTGTATACCATGGACTGGACCAGTATATTTATATGGACATTTAATTCCAGCTATTGCTTTATTTATTTTTGGTGTTACTTTTAATCCAATAGCACTTTATTATTTTTCAACATCACATTATTTTCGTCATAAAGCATATGCATATTATTTTTTAGCTATTGCTACTGTTGATCTTGTTCGTTTAATACTATGGTGTCTTTTTTTATTACTTGATTATAAAATATTGAAATTTCATTTTTATTCATTTGAATGTTCAGTGCAAACGTTTTCGGAATCAGTTGCAAGTTCAATTAGTGCTTGGTTGACAGTTTCATTAGCTGTTGAACGTTGTGTAGCTGTATCTAAACCATTTGAAACATACACTGATAAAAAAGGCAAACATGCTCTTATTGTTATATCTAGTGTTATTTTGGCATCATGTGCAATTAATTCACTTCTTCTATGGCCAGGATTCTATGTACAAAGGTCAGAATTAATGAAATGTTGTGATCTTTTCTTTTACAGTGATAGAAATAATATTTTTCATGTGTTTATAATCCATAAAAAGAAATATTTATTTTACTAATATTATTAAATAGTTGTGCAAAATAATTTTTGGAAAAAAACTGATTAAAATATTATATTATTTTTGTCATATTAAAAGTTCTCATTTTATATCATTGTCAGACAAAATTTATTAATTTATCTTTGTATAAATTGTATAGTATTGATAAAAAAGAAGTTACTTAGAACATATCAAAAATAATGATTTTGGCAGGTAAAATACTACAGAAGAGAGTGAATCAAATTTTTACTCCAACAAATATCTCAGCTAATAGACATGCACAATAACGCATAACCAATTTGTTTGAAGGCATTTATTGAAGGTATTTTTTTCAATAATCTATGATTAAGAAATTCATCATTCTGATTATGGCATTCTATAGTGTAAGTAGAGATCGTTTAATTGATGAAGTTTTTTAATTAGATTGATTATCTGAAAAATACATAATATAGCCTTCTTCAACATATTAGACAACTTGAAGTGTTCTATTCTGTCTTATTGTCCATAAGTTACAACGTGTCTTCTATGAAGTCCTTCGAAAAAAAAGTCATATTTTTTTATTGCCTCGCCGACAATTCTTATTTTCAATTCATTTTTCCCTAATACTTTTTTAGTAAACAAGTTTATTCCATTTATTTCACACACGTAGAATGAAAAAGACAAACACTATTCTATGAAAAAAAGTTACACAATCATTAGTAAGGATAGTGTTCACAGAACAATACAGTCAGTATATCCTAACATATTAGTACAATGTCTAATAACACTCTGTTTTGAAAATAATAAGATCTGTCATTGACAATATTTTACTTTCTCAATAACTAAATAAGAGAAAAATAAAATAAAATTTTTTTTTTGTCAGACTTATGTAAGTCAATTGCTCATATTAAGATTTGAATAGTATAGATGGAATTCGTTCACAGTGAAATGTATCACAAGCATAGCTATTAATCCCAAGATAACTTGAATGACTAGAATTGTCTGCAGAGAAGCAGTTTACAGAAAAACAACAGTTGAATACACAATCAGTGTTTTCTTTTATATTTGTTGTGAAAAATACTTTTAGATCTTTTTGCAAAAAAGAAATGTATTCTCAAACTCAGAAGCAGTACTTCATAGAACAAACCTCGACATATATACCTGCATGTATGTTTTCTTCAACTATGAATGTACTGTTTTGTGATAAAAAAAACGTTTGTGAATTTGTAGAAGAATGTACAAAGGCGGAATGACCTTTGAATTATTACATAACGGGATTTTACCGACTATGTTTCTCAAGGTTTTTCAAACTCGAAACTGATCCGTTACTATGAGAACAAAAGTCTGTGATGAACTTAGTTATTACTTAGGGCAATTCAAAAGTAGTGGCGCCATTACCAAATTTTCTTATAGAAAAGTTAAAGAAATTTTCTTTTTTTATGAACAGATAGAGCGTCTTTCGCCCTATTTTTCTATGCTATTTGATCACTATTCAACTGATGTCATAATAGTAAAATTTCGATAAGAAGTATTTTTATTGCATACTACCTGGTGGCATTAGATTATAATGGGTGAGACATTTTTGCATTTCATTTTATTCTCACTTAGTAAGTTGTATTAAAAAACAAAATATACCACAAGATGCAGCGTGAAAAGCTCTACAATTTATAAACGACCATTTATTTTATAATTGCACTTTTTATTTTCAAAATGGACAAATCTCTGAGCGACCAAATTTCTACGTTGCGAAAACGAGATTGTTTTTCGTTAAAAGACGAATTCTTTTTTGTTCTATCGCATCTTTTTATAATTGTTCTTTATAAATTGTAGAGCTTTTCACGCTGCGTCTTGTAGTGTATTTTGTTTTTTTCTAACAAAGTATATCAAATAATAAAAAGATGAGATAAGAAAAAACGAATTCGTCTTTTAACAAAAAACAATCTCGTTTTCGCAACGTAGAAATTTGGTCGCTCAGAGATTTGTCCATTTTGAAAATAAAAAGTGCAATTATAAAATAAATGGTCGTTTATAAATTGTAGAGCTTTTCACGCTGCATCTTGTGGTATATTTTGTTTTTTAATACAACTTACTAAGTGAGAATAAAATGAAATGCAAAAATGTCTCACCCATTATAATCTAATGCCACCAGGTAGTATGCAATAAAAATACTTCTTATCGAAATTTTACTATTATGACATCAGTTGAATAGTGATCAAATAGCATAGAAAAATAGGGCGAAAGACGCTCTATCTGTTTATAAAAAAAGAAAATTTCTTTAACATTTCTATAAGAAAATTTGGTAATGGTGCCATTACTTTTGGATTGCCCTAAGTATTATGGACATATATAAATACTTAAAAAAAAATCAATAAGTTGGAGAAATTATTTTTTAAAAATCGATTTTCAGACGCAGTTTTCTAATGTATCGATGGTTTTACTTTATCTGTAGAATAAGATGAGTATAAAATAATTATAATACATTCTGATGTGGAATAGTAAGAGTATCTTTATAAATATATATTGGAACGTTGTCATAATGACTTTTGATGTTTTGAGTGCTAGCCGATGATCTTTGTCTTCTCATTTCATTAATAACTAGTTTTATAGAATTATTGATATAATATTGGTGATTAAAGCCCTCCGTTCTTTCCATGTTTGCCCAGTTTTTTAAAGAATATTAGACTACGTAATTCTTTTCTTTTTAAAAAAAAACATTCGACATAATGAATTTTTTAATCAAAGACTCTTTGAAAAATACTTTCAACAAATGTCTTCAAACAAATCGTTTGTACGTAGTTAAGCATGACTACTAGCTCAAATACTCACTCGAACAAAAACTTAACTACATTTGTTTTGTAGGACTTTATCTGCCAAAACCACTATTTTTGGAATGCTCTAAGTATCTTATTTAATCATATGAAAATAAAAAACCTTTGTGCATATTATCAATAATCTGTAATTAGCTTGTAAAACTCAGATTTCTAAATGTCTTTCATGAGATATCATCAATAGAACTTTGGACTGTATGATGAACATAGAGTTAACTAGAAAAATTATTTTTATCATTTATGCAGTAACCTATTTGATGTGTTCAATATGATGAGTTTAGCTTTTTTACAACCTAGAATCTGAAGAATATGTCAAACAGTGACATTTTTATTCTAATCTTTTTCTGAAAACTAAATGTGTCAGTCAGTAATTTATCTTATTGTTTTGTTTTTCTTTAGAGTGTATGTCAAAGAAATTCGAATAATAATATGTAATTATAACAATCCTTCAATGAGAAATCTAACTGAAAATAATAATACGTTGATATTAACATCAAATATCAAACGAATATATTTAATGTCTATAGTAATAATTCGTGTTGCTATTCCATTCATGTTACTTCTTTTAGCAAATATCATACTTCTTGGAAGTATACGTAAAAATGAAAAAAAATCATTAATATATGGAAGAACAACATTTCTTCGTCGTCATAGTTCTCCTCCACGCATAACACCAATGATTTTATTTTCATCATGTATTCTTCTATTAACAATATCACCTAGGTAAATAGATAAGATAGATATTTTTATTTTTTTGAATTATTTATATATTTAATAGATATTTATTTCAATTTTATGTAAATTTTTTTGAAGAATCTTTAAATTGTTCATTAATACATTTTGCTCCACATTTATTAAAAACACTTGAATTATTTAATTATTCATTAAATGTATTTGTATCTGTTATTAGTGGTAAACAGGCTCGACATGAATTACATAATATGTTATTATGTCGATCAAAAACTTTAAATTTACAATTTGATGGCTCATTACAACAAAATTCATGTTTAACATTTAATAACCGATCAAGACATATAACTTATGATCAAATGAATCTAACTCATACATCACTTCTTCCTAATAATACTAATGTTGATTAATGTTATAAATAGTCAAATATTTCTTCATTACATTCAGAATATATGACTATAGAATCATCATTAAAGTTCTTTTTTTTTTCGAAATATTTTGTATTCGATAGACGCAAAGATGAACAAAATAGACTTCAAAAACAAAAACAACAGATGATATTGTTCATTCTGAGAATGGAAAATGAATTATCTCAAGGTTTCTATTTTCATCCAACTGAAGTCTTATTTTTCACTCAACAGAAAATATACAAAATCATACTTTCAATAATATCAGAAAAATTCTCTAAGTAATGATTAAATTGATTTAATAAATATTTGTGAATCTAATAAAACATTCAATCAAAAGAATATAATATAATCGTAAGGATTCACATTTGAAATTTTGTTTAATCGGATTAATATTGTAAAGGATATTACATATTTCTTTTATGAATTCGTATAAGGGAATACTCAAGCATAATATATACTTTTGTTTTCATGATATCAAATTCATCTCTTTTTAATATGTAAACATTTTCTTGGATATTCAATGTTTCAAGTAAACAATCTCGAATGATTCGCCTAAGATCTATTTAACAAAAATAACAACAAACTTTCAGAAATTTTCAATATTTCAGGTTATTAATAATAATCTTGATAAAGCTGTTAGCGTAATTCTTGCATAATTAATATATAAAACATAATGTAGCTTTTGTTGCTAATCACAGGAAGACTGCTTTATTCTATCTATGTTGGGACACATTTCTTCATCATCATTTTATTTACATGGGATACTACAAAAATTTTTTCGCCCAACTCTCTTAAAAGACTTAGCCAAGAACTAACTATACCGCTGTAATGCCTAGACATATTTAGGGTTATGTGCAAAATTTCAGACTTCGAAATATTGTGCTTTGTTGTAGTTTATCATTTCTTTTTGTATCAGTGATGTAGATTACACAGTTGCAATTTGTTTATCAGTTTTCCATCTTTTAATAGTTGTATTATATAAACACACTAAATTACAAAATGCAGCGTGTGAAGCTCTACAATTTACACAAGAGCACTTCTTTTTATAGTTGCACGTTTCGCTTTCAAAATGGACAAAATTTTTATTTACCACATTCCTGTCATGCAACAATTATATTTTTGTTTCACAGAATACGCTACTATTTTTCTTCTTTCATCTTTTTACCACCTAATATCTTTTTGTAAATAAAAACAAAATATGTGGCAAGACGCAGCATGAAAAGCTGTACAATCTGCATAGCCGATAAAAATATCAAACAAGAAAAAAAAGAAATTTCTGGTTCGTGTTATTTTTTCGCAACGTCGAAATTTGGTCGCTGAAAATTTTGTCCATTTTGAAAGCAAAACATGTAACTATCAAAAAAGTGATCCTATGCAAATTGTAGAGCTTCACACGCTGCATCATGTGATGTGTTTTGTTTTACTAATACAACTTATTAAAGGATTAAAAATTGATACATAAAACCTGATCATTAAACCCATTATGTGTTATATTAGGAATCACGTATACCGAGTACAAAGGAAACGATAGACTACAACAAAGCACAAGACTTAGAAGTCTGAAATGTTGCGCATAATCCTAAATATGTCTGGACATTATAGCGGTATAGTTAGTTCTTGACCAAGTCTTTTAAGAGAGCCGGGCGAAAAAACCTTTTGTAGTGCCCTATGTAATTCTTCAGAAATACAATAAGGAAGTAGTTCCAATCTTAGAATGAGATATTATTGATATATAGTCTTTGATCGTTTATCAACAACGTCTGTCACGGTCTGAGAAGGTGGCCCAAACTTTTACTTCTATACTTACATACTCTTTTCAAATCGTATTTCACAAAACAGTCATAACTTCATAGACAAACTTTAACAGTATAAACTATTATTGATTCGTTGATAGGTTCCCAAAATCTTTCAGCAAGGTTTGTTCGACTTAATTACTGAACTTGTTTTACGACAGTATACGAGAGAAATTTGCATGGTAATTAAAAAATTACCTTGTCTTATTAAAAGAATATTTTACGAGGCGACTTTTTTCTTTGCAGATTTTTCAAACATCCAGGTTAAACAAATAGAGTTGTAAATATACTCGTAGTAAATAGTTTAGATCGTCTTTGTTTCGACGAACACAATTCTTATAATTATGAAATTATATGACGCCAACAATGTTTTTGTTGGTGTAAATCTGAAGCGAGAAGATTTCATTATATAAAAACAATAGAAAAATTTGGATATCACTATTCAGTTAGGCACTGAAACAATTGCAAAAGCCCAAATTCATTTATTTAGATTCGAATATTGTTCATATTTTGCGCTCTCCTGTATAATGCATTTGATCATCCTTCATTCTCTCGTCAAAATCAGACGTTCTTCTATATTTAAAACACATCATACTATCAAATTAGCTGATACCATATAAGGAAAAATCAAAATCTCTATATCATGCCAATAAGTTTGAATACATACCTAGTTGTAAACAGACGTACTTCGAGGAATACGACGTTTTACATGGTTCAGCATTACGATCGTACATCTTTATGTTGTATACAGAGAAATATCATAATTTACGGAGACAAAAAAATGCTTTCTTACTATCTTCTTAGGAAGACGGTCTCCATTTTGTTTCATATCTCTATATACTTCCCCTCCTCCCATTTTTTTCATCATGGACATACATCACAATTATAACTATTTCATTTTGCAAGACTTCAAATCAAATAAATAAGATACATATTGCCTATTTAAAAATACAAAAACCTAATAATAATTATACTTTTCTATAGATTTTGTGGTATTCTTTAAAAAAAATGGAGAGTATCGTCAGCAGACAGAGTCAAGTCACCCGAAAATTTTAGTCTCATCCCACGACTGATGGGGCGATCTGAGGTGACATAATGTATCACAGCATAGGCGGCGGAGCGGTCTGAGTCTAGGGTAGGCTCAGATTTTCAACCAAGCCAGCCTTGAGAATGGATTGAAAGGATTTTTCTTATTTATTTAAAACGGTAAGCGCTATAAATTTTGTGCTAGATTCACATTCTATAGTAGTGTGATAACTATCTAACACATTATTGTTTCTAATGAAATGAAAAAATAACCGAGTAACAGAGGCACGGTTTAAAAATTAAAAATGACTTAGAAGAAATAAAACTACTTATAACCGAATAAAATTTTTCTGTTTTGATTTTTCTGAAATAAAGCCAAAGCAGATACTTTTTTTTTTGAGTAAGCATAATGTTTATTACGTCCGTAGACGCTTATAATATAAAAGCAGATACTGTTCAGATCAAGTAAGTCTAATTTTCCTTTATGAATATAAGGAACAATAGCATGGTTTAAACATTGTTTGGTCATTATACAGCGTAAATATGTTTTGTTCGATTCATAACGTTAAATGACCGTTCAACAGTAGGTGCTATTACGGAAGTTGTTATCTATAACGATAACAATTCACTATATTCGCAAAACTTATTTTTACCAACTTGCTGTACATTTAAAAGCTCACATAGGGTAAGGGAGGGGTGTCTCCGAAGTTCTAAAACGATTTTATAAATTAAAATAAATTATCGATGTTCCCATATTTGATTACCGTCTTGACCGATTAATAATTTTAACTGAATTGTTGTGCTATCTATCATTCGTTGACATAAAGGAACACTAAAGTTGTTTCGTTTCTTTTTAGTGTAGTTTTTGAATTGTTCAATATTCCTGTATTTCCGTCCTTTGTAATTTTTCTTTTAACGCATGCGTGTCAAACGTTTTCTATATGTTTTTATAGGCCTAACATCGACTAGTTTTGCAACACAATTCCCATGTCGTCACTTTTTTAACAACTGCGTCGCAGTTACGCGTAGAGTCAATTCTGCGTCGCAATTGCGCGTAACTGCGAAATTTTGATCGTAACTGCGCGTAACTGCGTCGCAATTCGATCGCATTCGAACACATGGGCTTATTGGGTCAATCCGATAGATAAAAAATATATTTAATAGCATTTAAACGCACCTCTTTGTTCATAATCTTGTGCATCTTGAAAAATAACATTTCATGCACTATTTAATTCCTTAGCTGCTTCCTCAGCTATAATAGCTCAAATGAATTTTGCATATCTATCATTAATAAAATAAATTTTCTTACGCCGTTCATTATCTTTTGATTTGATGGATTCTAACTGTTAATAGACAAAAGCTAGAAATTGTTGAACAATTTCATATTAAATTGCGTCAAAATAAATAATAGAAAAATTGAAAAATAGTACATAATAGTGGTGTTACAGGTTCTCTGCCATATCACTGTAACAAATAGTAGAATACTAAACCTTTGCCCTTACTATGATTTTCATAAACCCTTCAAGGCTTTATTATCTTGAAGATTAAAGAGAATAATGTATGACTTTGCCCATAAATGTCTATTATCTTGAAATTTAAGGCCAAGGATTTATTGTTTTGAAGATTATGGTCGGTGATTTATGGTTTTGTCTACAAGATTTTATTATCTTGAAGATTGAAGAGAAGAATGTATGACTTTATCTACAAGTGCTTTTTATCTTGAAATTTAACGTGAAGGATTTATGATTTCTCATTAAACTTAGCTTTTTCAATCGGTTGAATTCAAAATAGTCATTATTTGGTTTCATTGCCTTGATTAGCATACGTATTCTTGATAGTTAAGCAAGAAATCATAATTGTTGACTATTCAATTCTTCCAATAAAGAAGATTGTTTTTTAATCTTTGATTTAAAATAATGACTACTAATCATTCACCCATTTCAGTGGACAAATCGTATGTCTTATATATACCCTCAATTCCGTAGCACAAGCTATAGACCTCACACGTTGTAATTATGTAGTACAAGATATATGTAATAATCCACCAAAATTTTAAAGGCTTTTCTTTTGTTGAATGCGAGAATGGTGATTTATAAAATTGTTTCAGAACTTCTGTGACAACTCTTAGATGAGATACTAACAGGACTCAAAGAATACCTAATTGGGCACGGGTTGATAGTTGATAAAATATGGACTGACCTTCTGATAAGGCGTAATCTGTCGGTAGAAAATGGAAATTAAATAATGATAGAAAGTTATAACATTAAACAGAGTCTACCTAAGACTTTTTTATCTGTCCAATCTAAGATGATTTGAGCCTACCTAAGCCTTTTTATATGATTAATTTAGGGCGGTGCGAGCCTACCCAAGCCTTTATCTTTCTTGAGTCGAGCCTACCCAAGCCTACCCTTCTCCAATCTAGGGTAGGCTCAAGCCTACCCAAGCCTCGTGGCTCCGCCGCCTATGTATCACAGGTTTCTGACATAAGATGTGTTCAAATTGAAGCTAAACTTCAGAAGAACGAGTTTATTCTAGTCAAAATTTTTGCATTGGATATCAAGATTTATAATAAAGTCTTCAGAAAAGAAAAAGACTTCGAAACTATTGATCTTTTTTTTAGGCAAATTATGGTTTGAATATGAGTATAAATGCATGATATATGAGTGAGAATCAAGTTTTAAATTGCTATAAAAATATTTAATTGAAACATTGAAATAAATAATAGTGCAATTTAATCAATTGAACTTACTAATAACTAGGATTGCAATGATAGATAAAATCATTATCGTACTGAAGGTATTCCACTGGAAAATTTCATATAAAATAAAAATTGCTTGGGAAAAAAAACATAAATTTGAATTACGATTGTAAAAAAAAAATTATCAATAAACTAAATGAAGAATAGCTAAATGTACTTTCATCGTTTCCAGATGAATAGCTGAGAAAAAAAATATAGAAAGAAGCTGGTGTCATCTGTCATATAAATCCTAGGATTGATCAATTCTTATAACCATTCATGAAAATAAATATTTTCTCTTCTTCTTTTCTTCGATGGAACAGCAAATTCTTGTCAGTAATATTTTCAATAAAAAGATATTATTTTTAATATTATGACGTCAATTTATTTTATATTTACCAAATTATGTGATACAATATTCATTATTCATTTTCAATTTGTACTTCAAGAATTTAGCTAATGAAGAAACCTATTCAGTATTTATCTAATATATTTTTCTTCTTTTGAAGGAAACTAATCTTTTCTTTAACTCAGATGCCACTAGAATTCAAATATTTCATAAAATGATAGGCTTTTAATGCTAACAAGAAATATGAATCGTACTTTTTTTTTTATAAATTTACTTTACAAATATTCTCGCCTAGAAATTTGATTATAACACATGGTAAGTTTTCAAATATAAAGACAAAAATTAATAAACAGATCTTAAGATTTCACTTTAATACGATCTATATTTTTCAAATAAATAATTCCAATTTAATGATGAATTCCGCTAGTTTTGTTCTAATGAATTTAAGTACCGATAGTTCAATTAAAATAGATCAAATAAGAAGAGATATTTTTAGATTTTAGCTCGTAGTTTATGGGTAAATAAAAAAGAAAAGTAGAAATATAATTGAAGAGAACAAGTATAAACAGAGAAGGAAGGATGGAAAAGAGTGTCACGAAATCTTTTAATTATTCAGTACAATGAGATTTGATTGAGATTCTTTCACAATCATACTGTGCAGGAAAGGATCTCTTTCATACAGCCATATATTCTTCTACGGAGTAACGATTGATGATATGTCATTAATTTCTTAATTCTTTGCATTGACAAGAAGTAACCAATTCCATCTTTTGACTATTTATGATAATTATTTCAAAAGAAAATATTTGTTAAAAACAGGAAAGAAACTAAATCAGATGAGTATATGAAATAATATGAGATATTCATATTTGGTTCTGATGCAAACATCAAGACAACTTATGTTCTTCTCATACATTCGTTGAAGAGTTTCATTGTATCCAAATAAAATAACAAAGAAAATATCATTCTTTTTCAAATATGAAAATTTTTTATAAATATTTCAAGAAAATCTAATCATTGAATATTACATTCTACTAAAATGATTCTACTTTGCACTGTATCTATAAAACAAAACGTTCATAGTTTGACAACGCGATATTTCTCAGATATAATCTTCAAAACTACTCAAAGTTTTTGTAATAAGCTAATCTATTTAACTAATGTCCATTTCATAATAGAAGGCAGGTTGTCATTTTCTGAATAACTTTCGTTGAGTACAAAGTATAGACTTGCGATTTTTATCGTTCGAAAGAGTGACGTCCGAGCCATCGATCTGTATAAATTTCATTAGAATGAAAGATGCTTTTGGATCGATACTTCTCTTATCAACGGTGAAAACCACAGGTTTGTATCTTGTATTCAGTGAAAGTTATTTAGAAAATAGCAATCTGTCTTCTATTTTGAAACGGACTTTAGTTAATATGAGCAACATTTGATATTTAATTCGAGATTCAATGTTCAAATTGTTTCTAAATGTATTTCTTTAAATAAATCGTTTTTTTCCCAATGTTTTTCTCATCAATTAAGTAAAAGAAAAAAAGAATTATTAAATTGATTTATTCATATTTGTTTTTTTTTTCACTACCTTACGTATATGTATAAACCGATTGGAATGATATATTGATACGATCCTATTTTACATTATGGTTAAACTTTTCATTAGTTAAAAGGTAAATTTAATTTTAAAAATAACATAAATTTTCTTTTAGCTATTCCTTTTTTTTTTTTTTTGTTCATGTAATGAGAATTTCAATCATTCATTAAAATATATATTATTCAAAAACCGATATTATGATTAAAGAAAAAAAAAAAGTCTAATGTTTTTCATTTCTAGATCATGTCATCGTTAGGATCTGAAAGAGTTTTGTCCAAATCTCGCCGTCGTTTTACAACGGATACACTTTTTCGTTTAATAACTCAAAGTAATCAATATGATGATATTCGTTCATCTTCTTTACATGATAATGAATCAATATCATCCTATACAAATGGATATTTATCTGAATGTGATCTTCGTCATCTATGGTCTCTTTTATCACAAATGATTCGTAAACGTTTACTTAAACATGAACCATGTTTATTACCTGAATTAGGTGCATTTGTTTTAATTGATCATCCATCATTGGATAATATTAATAATCCAATAAAAGAACCATTTTTTGTATTAGATACAACATTTGCTCGTCGTCATCGTTTATCACGTATTAAAAAACCAAATTTATCATCAGCACTTTCACTTTCACTTCAAGCTAATGGAAATTCAACACATATTGAACCAAATACAACATTATCATCATTTAATATGCAAACATTAGATTATACATCATTACAAAATGAATCAGGTTTAACACGTGAACAATTAATGATGGGTATATCACAAATATTTGCTATGATTGATAAAGAAATAAATCCATATGGATATTGTTTTTTAGAATTTCCTCAATTAGGACATTTTAAAATTTCATTTGGTTTGGGTACATTTGATTTTAGTGAGATGTTTGTTGAAGAATTTAAAGCAACAATTAATAATACAATAAACGACAAATAAAATGAACAGGATTTATATATGTATATATATTTTTTTATATATATCTATATTAAGTCCGGTGATTATATTAAATGTTGTGTCAGATTTTTTTTTTTCTTTTGTGTGTATCTTTTGTTTGTTTGTAGTTATTTGTATTTAATAAAAAGGTATTTGTATAAACGTGCATTATTATTCACTCACAGATATATCGATCATTATAATTTGAAAAAAGATAGTATACAGAATATTGTTTCTCTTTTATTTACTAATAATTCGTGTGGTTAGATTAGATTGTCGATGTTTGTTAGATTTATTTCTCGAATTAGACTGAACGAAAAATTTTTGTTTTGATACTAAAAGATCAAGAATATTGTGTAAATTTAATTGTTATATTTATTTTTAAATAAGCATGTACTCAAGTAGACAAGAATTTTTGAAAATATGTTTAAACGCTCCAAATGCAATTTCCTTTGTGAGTGTTTTCATACCCATTCAGAAAACACTCAAAACTAACTACTTTTATCATGAAAAGTAACTTTTGCATCTGGGAAACATTAGTAAAAAAAACAATTTCTGCAAGATTTTGACGTGTTTTACAGATAAAAGTAACATTTTTATGCATGACATATGTCAAAAGTATTATGAGAAAATTTGATAGACGTTTTCCAGATACAAAAATTGTCTTTCTAACCATCCTCATGCATCTTTTTTGATAAAATTAGCTGGTCATAGTGTTCTCTGAATGGACGTGAAAACACTCAAAAGAGAAACGTAATTAGAGGGTTTAAACGTGTTTTCAGAAATTTGTATCTGATTGAGTGCTCGACCTATTTATATATATATATAATAATGCGACGAAGAAAAGTACAGTAATAAACGACTATGACCGAAGTATATTATAACCATCGAATTGTTGTCAAATTCTTTTATGTCATGGTATTTGTTTACATACCATTTATGTTTTGAAACCTTTTTTTGCCTCAATATAGTAATCTCATTATGCATAAGAGCATAACCGAAAGATAAATTTAGTTTACCCAGATGTGTACATGATTTATATCATATGGACTTTGTTCGGTCGTTTACTGAAATATCTAACTTCTCTGGTTTACATACCATATCTATGTTAACGTTTAATGTGATTCATCAGTTTTAACAATAGAACATTCGTGACATTCTCAATTTCATCCTTGTCAAATAGATAAATCTCTACAGATGAAAAACAAATGAGAATAATATTGAATTTTTTAAGAATAGCGATAGTATATATATATATTTGTCTTCTGTTATTTTATAATGAGAAATAGTTTTCATGTATATCATTAATATGAACTATCTAAATATATAATTTTATGAAATGTCATTTTGTCTTTATTGATCAAAGTACTGAAAATAAAATTGTTTTGACATGGTGAATGACTGATGGAAGGAACGTTTTCAACTAATTAATCGCTTTCTCATCAAAAACTAGTTGATCATATGTTATCGACCATGTTGATTCCAAATATGACAATGCGAAATTCTCTTAGATCTTCATATGCTGATTTTTCTAGACTAAAAAAGTTTTCGTCAAAACTTATTTTTCCACTATTCAGATTATTCAACATATCGAATTGCTTAGAAAAAAGTAAGTTTTTCTGTTTCAAATCATTCTTTTTTGCAAAAAATACAGCAGATACCTATCAATATTTTCCATGTGAAAAACTTTAAGATGTGATATTATTTTACTTAAAAGTCATTTTTTTGGAAAATAAAAACGATTATTGACTCATAAACAACTCGATATGCCCTATAATCTGAGTAGATCAAAAAACGAATTTTGAAAAATGTTCATTATTCTAGAACACAAGTGTATGAAGGCTTAAGAGGATTTATCATAATCATAATCGGAATCAGCATGGCCGATAACTTACAATCTACTAGCTTTTAGTAAGAAAGTGATCGATTAGTTGAAAACATTTCCTTATGAGTATAGAAAAATGAAATTTTGTTTTTTTTAAATTTCTTTCAATTTATACTGTGAACATATTATTTATATAATACTAAATCAATAGTAATAATCTTCAATACAAATCAATTGATGAAAATGTAATAATTAGTTTTTTTTAAAGCAAATGCTGTTTTATTTGATTATTGATTGATTTGAGGAAAGTTTTCTTGATTATTTTATCATCTACAAAGAAAATAAAAGTTTTTCATTTAAACTCTCATATATGTGGAATATAATAAAAGTCGACATATTCTAATCTTCTATTTTGATAATGACAGTACACCTTGTAGAATCTGTTACCGATATAATTTATTATTTTTGATAATTCGTATTTTCTTTGCTTCAATTAATTGTAAATATTATCAACAAGTAAGAAATGTGACGAAGAAAAAAATCATAAAGCAATATTAAAATAATCATGTTTACTCAAATTCGAATTGCTTCATTTGTTGTTTGTTTTGGATGAATGACCAAACTTTTCTGAAGGACGATAGCATCTTCCATTAATAGCTGAAAAAATATAAACCAAAACACAATCAAGACAAATGTTTAGTGTGAAAAGAAATCGGATATCATCCAATATAGACAAGGAGAGAAAGAATTTATACTTTCGTTGCGTCAGGAAGAAATTATTGTATTTGTTATCGATACTTTCTTATCATCATGAATTTTTCTTGTTCACATATATATGGCAATTGATAGGACTATGTTGTTTAGGTATAATAGATTTTTTTGATTGCTACAACAATTGTATTTGCTTTAATTCCTATTTATATATCGAAAAATGAAGTAGCAATTACAAGCATAACTAGTGGTATGATCAGTCGTTGTTAACATGCAAAGAATATTTTCTTTTGTTTATTTTTAGTTGATGATTTATTCTATGTTCAATATTCATTCGATGTTGATATTGATTCAAGTGTAACAGGCATTGTGAAGAATCTTGATGAAGTCAAGTTGATAATTGTTGAAAATTATTTTTAATTATTCTTTTTTGTTTTCAGATCGGTAAATCATTATGTTTGGGTAATGATGCAAAAATTCTAAGTAGTCAAGCTTAAGCTACATTTGTACGAACGAAAACGTGGAATATATATATATGTACTTTGGAATCTTTGTTTTTTTTTTATATAAATTTTTATTTCTGTTTTATTTTTAGAAATTATCGATATCAAAAACGAACTTTAAAAATGAATTTTCGTTTCCGATTTAGATATAAATATAAACGAATATGTATTACTCAATGATGCCATGCTTTGAGTAGAAACCAATTTCAAATAAGAATCAAACGAAATTTTACTATTTCTAATCTTTCATGCCGCATCAAAAACATTTGCCTTCAAGTTTACATTCATCAGATTAATAACAGTAAGTGAGTGAATAAAAAATTATTTAAATTAATATAAAGAGCCAATTGATTTTACTGGTGAATCAAGTTTATTTCGATCTGGTACATTTAATGATCCACTAACACGGACTGGTTGTGAATGTCGATGAAGACAACGCGATCTACACTCTTTGTCTACTATTGAACTTATTGTGATGGGTCAATTATTATTTGCTGGTAGTGGAGGTGGAATTATGTTACTACCTGGATGTGTTAATAATTTTATTAGTAGCATAGGAGCATAATATTCAAATCTTCAATCCATTAACTTGTATTAATATTGACATGTAATTGATATTACATATATCTTTTAGTAGACCTTATTTTATCACTATTCCAGTAGCTGAAATAATTTCAATTAGTGTGATACGTATGAAAACATTTCAGAATTTTGTGATTGAATTTCATTTTATATTAAATTAGTTTTAAGTTCTGGAGAAAGTGATACTATAACTGTAATTTCTCCGACAAATGCATCCATGGGTTAAATAAAAAAAACAACATATTTTCATAGAATTTTCTGTTTTTTTCTTAATTAATTTGAAATTTTCATTCATGAAATATATAATTATAGATATTCATTTCTATACTAATGAATTTTTTCTCTTAATTATTTTAAATAAGTCTTATAATTTATAAAAAGTTTTTTCTTCTTATATAATAATTTTAACTCGAATTTGAAAATAAAAACAAAAAAAAAACATTAGATCATTTATTGTATTTATTTGAATCGTACTCGTATATACGTCGAAAGAGAATTAAGTAAAAACATCAATGATAATTCAAATGCATTTTTACTTGCACGGCTGTTTTGTAACTATTTATGTCATACTTAATAGTATGATAGAAATGATTACAGCGTAAAATAAATTATAAATATTGCATTTTTACAATTTCACCTGTATGATTGTATATTTTTTCTTTAAGCTATTACCGATATCTTTTTTTTTTATCATAATAGAATACTTAATCAAGCATCTAAATATTGTAAAAATAGGTTGTTAATTAGTTAGAAAAATGTTTGTTGAGTGCATTTTCTTTTAGTAAACATAGTTATTAACTTTTTTTTTTTGATTTTCGATATAGATCTGTAGATTTCTTACATAAGAAGAGAGGGTATAGAAAAAAAATATGTGATTAAGTTTTGAATCTTTTTCTCTTAAAATTTTTGCGTCATTAATATATTGAATAATCTAGAAAAGTTTTTGTATCTTAATCGTTCTTTTTCTTCAATAGAAATCATGAAAGTCAGATGATAAAGTTTCATAATTTTATTACTTGATTGCAATTATGTTTAAACAAACGTAAAAATCTTTTCATTTTAATTTCGTTTATTAGTGATATCTTTATGTTGTCTCTCTTCCTATCAGATGAATGAATGTCTTAAGATTTTCATTGTTTACTTGAATAATATGAAAGTTAGGGAAGAAAAAATATAGTATCGGACAAGAAACAACATGAATATTACGAGCAATTTTGTGATTATTTACTGATGTAGAAATATTCTCATAGGATATTCACAGATTAAAATGATATTGGTATCATAAGTGAGAAATCTCAGGACTAGTATCTTTGTATAATAACTTCAATGAATAGCATATTATTGTGGAATTATGGACATTTTACTAAACTTTGCCAACACAAAGATCTGATAAATATTCGAATACTCTGAAAAGGCTTCACTAAAAAAGAATCTTTCTTTTTCATGATAAAACATTTTCAACAAAAGAAAAAATAGCCATTCGTTACTCTCACAAGTACGTATAGCCGCTTTTTCTTGTGAGTTCAATATCTTCAAAAAGACAAAATCATTTGTAATAAAACTTTTTAAATATTCTAGTGTCTATTAGATCTATATATTAGCAAATTTTCAGATATTGTTTAGTTTAACGTTTTCCAAATGAAATTTGTCACAGGGCAAAATTTAGTCCAATTTCTATAACTCTATAATAAGATGTCATTCATTGGGCTTACTACACAAATGTACAAGTTTCGAGATTTTTCGTTTATCGTAGAACTATAAAACACAATCTGTAAGTAATACCGAGTAATGTTTCTTCATTAAAATAATTTTGATTATAGTTGAAAGACAATGTTAATCATGTGATTATCAAATAGTTCATTCTCATTTGAGAAGCCATCATATCTTGTAAAATAAGATCAACTCAAATTCTTCATTGAAAAACAAATTTATTCTTTTGAAAATCAAACTATATTAATATTATTCATGTTAGATCATTTATTACATCTTTTGGCACAATATGAACCATCAAAGTAATCGAATATTTTGTAATTGAATCATAACGTTGATATGTTTTTTCTTGCAATAACAAATAACGTTCATCGACAGTCGATTCACCTGGCCCTAGACTGACGCCGTAACGACACATATGTGTTAGAAAGTTATAAGATTAAGATTAAAAAGTTAATACTAAAATTCTTTTGAGTACAAAAAAGCGCTAATAAAATTAGCGCTGTTCATACTCAAAAAAATCACATTTAATATAATATCGTTTTCATACGTCATAAAATTATGTATTTGTTCTGATTCACTTGTCAAAACTTTATTATACGTCATATGCTGATTTGTAATATGGGTACTATATCGTCTTTTGTACCATACTTACCGAAATAGTCATTTGTGTCATAGTTACATGGTCATTTGTACCAAAAAAATGGTCGTTTGTACCAAAACAATGGTCATTTGTGCCAAAAAAATGGTCACTTGTGCCATTGTTGCATGGTCATTTGTACCAAAAATATGGTCGTTTGTACCAAAACAATGGTCATTTGTGCCATGTTACCGACAAAAACGATATACGTGCAAACAGATCAATTCCCGTTTCTAGACCCTATCCTTACAGTCTAGGGAATATGATTAGTACATAATCTGGTGATATAAACTGTGCAGAGAAATACAAATCTATATATGGACAAGATTGTTCCAGTCTCAGATTGAGTGGGACTGATACCAAACATGACTAGTCCTGTTCATGAATAACTAAATCAGACAGTATGTTCACCAATATATATATATATATATATATATTTCATTTCAAGGAAAGATAAGTTCCACTCAAAAGATGATATTTTAACAAGAGTACAACACATTTAACTTGAGAACAATGCAAATATGAGATGTCACTATAACCAATTTCTCCTTATTTTAGTTTATCAGAACAATGTAATATTACAAATAATCTAAATCAGTGCTGTAGTTTATATACTGTTAAAACAAGTTTTTCAAAATGAATTTTATCCTAAATAGATTAATGAACTTCCAGTTGGATATTAATTTAAACATTCATATATATGTGATCATAGTCTGGCTGACTACTAGATGTTTTTTTTCTTTCTTGCAAACCAAAGACATCTGTATACATGAATATGTCCAATGATAAAAAAGAGTTTCAGCCTCTTCTCTTGTCGCTACAATCAATATCATATGATCTTTCTGTAAATTCATTTCTAACATGACTCATCATTTAGTATTTCGTCGTCATTATTACATGTAATTGATATTAATTAGTAAGTGGATAGATTCTCATAGATAGATCTGATCATAAGAAAATGTATCTGAAATATTTACTTTATATTATATTGATTTTATTTTTTTCGAATAATTATATTACAAAAGGTATTTATTTATTTATTACCAAGATTTTTTTTTTAATATTATTTTACGCAACTCTTTGAATGATATTTTCTAGGAGAAAATTTAACAGATACAAGTAATATATTAACATCAACAACTGCAGAAACAAGTAATATATATGCGTAGACCTATTTTATAATTGAAATATAACTTTTCGATTCAGGTGCATCAACTTTAGTATCATGTCCGGAAGGTTATCAACCAACATCATCAGGTTCAGAATGTCAAACAAGTTCTGAACGTCAAGATAATAAAACTGTAATAATAAAACGTAAATAAATTTTTGAATAAAAAAAAAAAACAAAGAAAGTCTAATAATTTCTTAATTTAGATCAAGAAAAATCATCAAGTGGTAGAGCTCGTCGTTGGTTTTTTCTTTTTCTTGGTTGTTTATTAACAATATTTGTAATATTTGCTTTACTTATGACTTATAATCATATAACTCAACAAATTCATCGTCATTCATCAACAAATTCAACAATAAATTCAACTATTGGTAATAGATTTCGTAATATATTACAATCAATCAGTTTAAATAATCTTCGTAAACATGGAAGATTTAATTTTTTTTCTATTTCAAATGATAATTATTCATCTGGACATAATCGACAAGGAGAAACATCACGTACACATTTAAATGAAAATCAAGATGAAGCTTTATTATTTGATGATCCATATGCTGATGGAGGAATTTCAAGTGGAATTCATGGATCATCTACTAATCCATATAAATCATTAACACTTTCAGTTACTTAAAAAAAACATTTCTGATTAATCGAAATTTTTCGCACATGACTAAAAACATATATTGAATGTAATCTCAATTTTTTTTTTGTCTGACAAATATATTTTATCCTGATCAATAGCTTTTGTTGTTGTTTGGTTTAATTTTGTTTGTGTATGTATATTTGTATTAAATACATCTTATTATTTGAATTTAAAAATAAAAACAAAAAAAACAAACTTAAAGAAAATTAATCTTGAAGAAAAATTTTAAATTCTATAAGAATATGAGATTTGTCAGGTAAAAATTATTCAATTGTATTGGATGGCTCATAAATAATGAATATCTCATTATTTTAACAATAACTTATGTTTTCTTCAATTCATTTATTTTTCCCAGAAGATGTACTGTCAAAATTCCTACAAAACTCTTAGTAAGATTTATTTCTATAGAGTAGAAAGGAGGTAAGAGAAGCGAAGAATAATCAACATCTGTAAATGGACCAACTTTATAAGATATTTTCATGTAAAAGCTTTAGAATATTTCAAACAATTCTAAAGACAATGAAACGAAAATAAGAATGTTTTTTGAGTACTTTGAATTGTGCTCTTTCTCATCATGTAGTTCAAAATTTGTTGAAATCAAGACCAACAGTGAGAAAACAAATGTTTAGCAAAATTCTGTTGAAAATGATCAAAATTTACTGTACTTTTATTTGTTTGCCAGCTGAATTTAAGATTAAAATCTATGAAATAAACTTTCACAGATGAAACTAATGCAGGAGTTATTTTTTGACTAGTATAAAGCAAATTCGGGCTCAAAAGATGCTATTTTGACTTCGTTATCCGATACTTTTTAGGAGTTGCAGATCGAAATACCTGAAATTTTCTAAAAACTTCAAAAAAAGAGATAAATCAATATACGTAAGTCTTTAAGATTGATATTGTATCTATCCACTCAATACTAATTAAAAAGAAAAAGAAAATTATAATTATCTCAATAACAACTTTACCTATTATATTAAACACAAATTCAATAGAGCCATTTTACTCGTTGTATTTCATTGTACTAAAAAAAACTCTACATCAATTCTTTCAATCTATTGATAAGCAGCAAAACAATTATAAATAGTACTTAACTTCACCAGTACCTGCTGTATTTGAACACAATTTTCAATTTTTATGAAGTTCATATAAGAAGAGTATATATAAATACTTTGTAGATCTTCATGAGACTAAAAAAATGAGTCTGATGAGTAGAGACTTATTTCAAATAACATAAGAATTATAATGAACATATTTGAATATCATCAGAAGTACTTGTCCTAGCTCAGTAAGTTTACTTAATTTCTTTAGAGTTTTCTGAATCCCACAATTGTTTTAAATTATTCTTAGTTTATCATTAATCTAATTTCGTTTTCATATATCTAATTTTAATTATAAAACAATATTCAATACGAAAACAAATATTATGTATTGATGTCTGGTTTGTTTTTTGCATGATTGACTATCTGTTTTTTATCTACAAGAATGTTCTTGTTTTTTTTAAATGAAACAGAAGCATAAAAGATGTTTTTGTTTTACTTGATTGGCATCGGAGAATGTCATTAGAGACATGTATGACTTCAACATTTTCTCAGACTTTATATGATATGAAGTAAAAAGTTATTCTACAAAATTGTATTTTTTACGAACAATTCAATGAGATTTATAATAATTTAAAATGTGTTCATTGTTTATAATTGTATTATCATTGTTGATTATACTTTATCGAAGAGAATTAATCTATTTTGATTTCTAAAATATTTAAATTTGCTATTTTCTATTCGATATAAATCATTTAATATTTGATCATTCGTAAATGAATACTCATCATAGATTTTATTTATAAAGAAAATGTTTTTTTCAAAATCTATACTGTGCAATCATCAATAACAAAGTGAATGAGATTTACCTTCAATACTAGATCTCTTATCGCAATAGAAGTTTTCAGGAATTCTAAAATGTCTAAGTGTTCACAAACTTTATGCGAACTTCTATTATCAGGGAAGTTACTAATATGACTTGAGTGTGGGTGTGAATGTTACCGAACAGAGAAAATCCAGAGATTCATATTCACACGACATGATAATATTACGAGCAAAAGAAATATGAATTTGTTAATCTGTGATGATATTCAAATTCCTGTTCCCAGATAATATGATGATTACAGAATCATAGACCTACAAGAAATTAAATTTATCCAGGTGTAGCTTTTCTGTAGATTTTCGTATATTTTATTCCTTTTAACTATTCTTATCCATCATCCTCTACTTCTTTTGATTCTAGAACTATTTTAATTCCCTGTGGTCCCTTTAGTTTCTTTAAGGGTGTCAATGTGCGGATGTGGGTAGACAGAAAGTTCACACTCACATCCTTTTAAAGAAACTACAGGGATTAAGATAAGTTGTAGCTGTAAGAGATTTTTAGACCGGAATAATTTTGATTTCTTGTACACCCTCGTATTTGATATCTGAAAAAACATTCTTTATATGCAAACGGTGCCTGACCAGGACTAATTTAATAGTATCTGCGAAACTTTACTCGGAAAACTTGAATCGTCTGGATACAATAGAAGCAGTGGCGTAGCCAGCAGGGGGCCAGGGGGAGCTGAGCCCCCCCTACGGACTTTTGAGCCCCTCCTGCGAAATTTTAGAAAGACATATTCTTTTTATACCAAAATAGATTAGTGTTTGCAATTTTACCTTTTAACATATATATTTAATTTTGTGCAACTCATGTCTTTGAATAAAAGAAAATACAGTAAATGCGAATACAAGTTTTAATGAGGTTTATTAGGTTATGAGTAGTTTATTTCAGCTTTGCAGGAGGCTGCAGTGATTTGTTTGTATCAGAGTAAAGCGATGTCTGTTGTTGTGAAATCAGAATGAAAGTTCATACGTCTTAGGTAGATTGTATTGATCATTTTTAAAAAAATTTAGCTTTTTCTTAATTTATTAAATGTTTTATATAAATTATTATTTACAATTATATAAAAATTTAACGTAGTAATGGAGAGTAAAATATATAAATGTAAATATAAATATATAACAATATATATTATAACCAACGTTTCGAACGTAATACGTTTTTTTTAGAGTTAAAAAATTTTGTTCTTGAATGAGAATAAATATGTGGTTGAATCTTCTTCTTTTTATTCTTCTTCTTTGCTCTTTTCTTGCCTATTTGAATTTTTATACTGGAATGGACGAAGAAAATTAATTTTTACAAGCTAGTTCTCTTCGTCCATTCCAGTACATACGTTTAAATAGGCAAGAAAAGAGCAAAAAAGAAGAATAAAAAGAAGAAAGTTCAACCGCATATTTATTCCCATTCAAGAGCAAAATTTTTGTGTACTCAAAAAGTAAGTACACTCTAGAATCGGTCAGTGTGTTCGGCCGAGCGACCGGCCGTTTACGTGATAACTTTTGAAAGCAGAGTTCAATCATGATGAAATCTTCTACACAGTTTTGTCCCAACAATATCTCGGTTTAGTTCGAAGATGAGAATGAGTGTCCGAGCCATTGGTGAGTTATTGTAAAAATAATTATTTTCCCCTATGCTTTCCTATGTGAGGATCAACCAGTCCCTACTTTTGTAAAAGGCTTTCCCGATCATGGTCACATAAAACCCCAATTATTATATACCATTCGACAGAGAATTTCACGAGCTACAAAATGGTATATAAAGCATCAAGAAACAAGGAAGCTAACTCACCTATTGCAAAGATAAATAAACGGAAATCGGTTCTGTTCTTGTCCACGCTCTAATTGATCCACAATTAGAGCTCTATCTTCTGATCGCAAAGGCGATACTCCAGGGTTTTTCGGGATGGAGAACTCGAATTTGTACTCCACTTGTCTCGAAGCTCCATTGATTGAGCACTGACCAATAGAAATCAAGTTATAGGGAAAACGACTCTCTTAGAGTAAATCAAGGCGAAGGCCCCAAACACCGACTAATTCAAAGTGAATTAAAACTGAATTAACGAATAAATCGTCTCAAAAAGACGATTTAAATCGAAATAGACCAATCATGTTGTGTAATTCGTTTTATTTTTTTCTGTATGTCAGGGACCAAATAGTTCAAATGTGAGCTGTATTCACCAGCAAATCCTATTGGTTGAGCAGTAGCCAATTGAATTCAAATGTCAACAGAAAAGGTTTGCCCGGCTAATTTTTATATCCAGATATTCTAGGATGATTGATTTGTCTCATTCACTTTTTGAAGTACACATAACTCTCGGATAGAAATCCGAGGTTTCCACATTTATTTCATCTATTGTTGTTATTTCAATTGAATGAAGATCGAACATCTTTTGCCATTTTATGTTTGTTAGCTCAGCTTATATTTTGAGGAAAGAATCAGAATAAACAAAAATCAACTCTATATTGGGTTTACAGATAAGTTTCATATACCTAAGATGGGTCGAAAATTTTTGAGGGGCTGAGCCCCCCCTAGCCCAAAATCCTGGCTACGCCACTGAATAGAAGTCCAGGAACTGTTAATATGGAAGGATCTTCTATTTCCCGGAGTGCGTTATTCTTTGTCAACATTTTACTTATGAATATGAATTATAAATGCGTATCAGTATAGAATCTTATAACAGACGGACGAAATCTTGAATAGGCGAAAACATTTCCATCGTATTCAATTATGAGTTTCTTAGAGCTTTGTTTGACAGACTTAAAATAAGCTGTTATATCCATAAACATCAGAAAAAAGATATTTTTACTAATAAATGAATACCTTAGGAAAGTTAGATGCGGTATATATCAAAGATACATTCTAGTAGTTCTATCAAATCGGTATGACGTACTCTAAGAAAAAAAATATTGTCGAACTTCAATAAAATTGATTTCAGTTCTCAAACTGAAAAAAAAAGTCTTTCTAGCAAAACACAGAAATAATTGATGATACAATATAAAATTTAAATTGTATGTAATAAACAAAAATTTCCCACAAAAATGCCAAAACTTTTAGGTTTGACATAAGATTTCATGAATATTACAAATTCAATTCTTAAAGTTTTGCGTCGAATCTAGTTTTTTATCTGTATTCATCATGAAACCTCGCTTTGAACATTCCTATATATAATAAATCCATAAATATTTTACAAATAATAACAAGATGATCAAGGTTATATTTTAATGTTGTTTCTAATTATGAACATTATCATCAGACTTCGTGTTTTGTTTATTTTTTTGTTCTTCTGATAGATTTCCTAGAGACAACAAAATCTTGATTTCAACATAAATCAACATTCGTAAAAGTATTTGATTTTCCTAGATTAGTTTACGGAATTTTATTTATCAATTATTTAAGTTGTCATTAACTTTCTGAACAAAATTTAAAAGCAGGAATATCCAAGAACTGAAACATAGAAATTTCTAAATTGTGGAGGAAATTTGCAACGAAACTATGATAATTCTTCGAGAAAACAAGAATTGACTGTGAGTTCCTTCATGGTTCCATCATTCATAAAAGCGCAAACGAAGCCTTTTCTGCAATAGTTTTCATACTCAAACATTCATGTTCACAAATTCCTTGATGAATATAAATGTGAGAGCAAAAAAGTATCATGTAACTAGGAAGGAATTTCTATCTCTCATATTCTAACTTTGAACAATATAACATCATTATTGACATCATGCATTAATATCTAAGATGCTCAAGGTTATGATGATTTAAGTATTGCTGAACAAGTTAATAAAAACTTATACAATCAATAAATAAAACTCAATAAAATAATCTAGGAAATGAACACTTAGCTATAATATGAATGTTGTTTTAATGTGCAAATAAAGATCTTATTGTCTACAGGAAATCAATTGTAGAAAATAAAAAACATGTTCATAATTAGGAACAGCATCGAAATATAACCTTGATTATGAATTTTCATTGAAGAATCAATTTTTAGCTACAATAAAACTTGATTTTTCTTTCATTGAATAGTCACTTATGAAAATCTTCTTAATTCAACAATTACAAATTAAAAATGTTTAAAAGAAAACTTATTATATTAGATCGAATTTTTTACTATGCAAAATACATTTCACCTATACTTTACCAAGTATAGTTATTCACTTTATCTATACAAAAAGGATTATCTAGTGACAAATGCTTTGATTATTAAGAATGGCTAAAAACCTTTTAAATCGATTATAATCTTGATTTGATTGAATAATAATCCGAACATAATCAAAATATTTTTCAATGAGTATTTAAAACAAATAAAAAAAGGAAGTGGCTATGTGCACTCGAGTGTACATAGCCGACTGGCTATGTACACTCAAGTGCACATAGCCGACTGGCTATGCACACTTGAGTACACATAGCCAGTCGGCTATGTACACTCAGGTAGGTATTATCAAAATATTACTAAATATTAAGTTATATTATAGCCATATATGTTCTTTATAATTATTATAATTAAAATTTATCAATTGATTAACAATTTTGCTCTATTTATTCTTTATTAAATTCAAATAAAATACAAAGCAAGTGTTAGAATCAAACTAATATAAAAGAGAAAGTTAATTCAAGTAAAAAATCGACTGATTTACAAATATTTCTAGCATTTACTCTCTTAAATTCTTCAAGGAAATGATTACATGTCTTCCGAGAATATCCCCGGAAACTCGATTATGTCCTAGGGGTAAGAGGTAGATAGATATGTAGATATAGGAGGTGTAGGAGGTATAGGGGGTATGGGAGGTATAGGAGGTATAGGAGGTATAGGAGATATAGGAGGTATAGGAGGTATAGGAGATATAGGAGGTATAGGAGGTATAGGAGATATAGGAGATA